TACATGAAACAAAAATCAAGTTTCATTTTTCAACTGATAAAAAAAAACCTTAGAGAGAAGAGCCAGAGACACTGAGAGAAGCAGAGATGGTAAAAAGATGGCTGATGAGTAACAATGTGAGAGGATGAAGACGATGGTACGCATGAAGTGAGCGAAAGCAAGAGAAGCACTCTTTAGCACTAGCCTGATCTTTAACAAACCTATCCACAGAACATTCAGAATATGCTCGTCTTAATCATCACCTGACCTTCTGAGCGCAGTGATATGGGACTGTGAAGCATTACTGCCGACTGTCATCTATCAACAGCAATTTAAGAGAGCTTGCAGGGGGCTTGGATCGCTTTTTAGCTGCTTTCACACGTGCAGAAAACCTGCAGAAAAAAATCCAGATCAGGAGAATATCCGGAGCATTATCTAGATATTTCAGGGTTGCATATTTGAAAACAGCTTGAAAAGTCTTTAAATGTTTTCAAATAAAGACTGGAATAGCCTTGAAAGATAAGACTTTTTTATTAGAGGGAACCTTCCTCACATTGCAAAACTTAAATTGGGTTCATCTGCAGCTTTCATCAGTCTGGAAGTGTCTTTTTTTTAAACATTAGCTTCATTTTGTACATAGTTGTTAAGGCTGTGAACTAACTGGAGCATTGAGATAGGCCAAGGAGCAAAAGGAAAAAAGAATGGATGTTCAGCATGAAGGACTCAGGTGGTGAAATGGGAGACTCGTCTCCTTTCATACCTTTCAAGAGCGCTTTGGACCAATGAGAACAAAAGAGACGAAGGACACGGACACAGAGTGGGGGTGGGGTGGGGTGGGGTGGGTAGAGAGAGAAACACAGTCATGAGACAGATGATAACAGCACATGCTAAATAAACAGATACAGGAAAAAGTAGTCTTAATATTGTTGGAGTGGAGAGAAGAGTAACTCTACTAAAAGTTAAATTATCATCATAACACCAATGACATAAATAAAAAAAGGTTTTAGCCATGAATAAGATCAACAGAAATCTTTTTTTTTTGGTTAATGTCCATATAATAAAATGGCAGCGTAGCATGTGTCTGGGCTTTTTTGCAGCTTGTTAGGACTACCATGAAGTTTCACAGGGCAGGAAAACACAAGCAGTCAGAAAACCAGAACGTTTTCCTCAAGTCCTAATGGCTGCAGACTGGACGAGTCAACATATCCATTAACGTTGTCCATGTCTTCTGACAACAGCGTTGGGTTCTGGACTAATCTTTAGATCCAAACCACTTCATATTTTATAACCAACAGTTAGCGTATTTACTCACAGCAATCCAACATAACTCTCAAACTGTGTGCGACCCTGGTGAATACGACACGTCCAAACTGAAGCTGGTCGTAAACTGTGATGTTTCATCTCACCGTTCACCTTTGATAATCTGAGTGCTTGTGTTTCTTGACCCCTCTGACTTCTTTAAAGCGAAGTTGCTGAATTCTCAGATCTCAGCAAACGTCCTTTACGATGCTGATAGCAGACGACGGAAATAAAGACCCCCCCCCCCCCGTTTGTAATAAACTGGATTCTTCCTATGAAAACAGCAAGATTATAAACTCCTATTTGATGTTCATGCAGCATAGCAAGTCAAAACTGTTTTTATTATGAGATAATGATGGGAAAAAGATCCTTTCTTCACACTTAACTTATTAAAGATCCCCTGAATTAAGACAGAATACCAAAACATTTGACTTTCATGAGTTAAGGAAGCACATTCTTTGGTTTGTTGTGTTAGTAATGTCCTTCAACTTCTCTAAACTATTGTTGCCTAAACTTGGTGTCAAACTATCTACTAAATACTGTAGATATCTATAACATGTAATTGGCTTGGTTGGAACAAAATGGATGCAAGACTCTGCGTTTTTGGCTGATCAGAGAACAGTTTACTTTGGTTCAAGTGAAGTATGAACATATATAGAAAAAGAAAAGTATGAGCAGTATGTTGTACCAGACATGATAAACGTCTCAGCATTTTTGTTCAGATCAGGTCTGAATATACTTTCGAATTATTTTGGTCCAAGCATTTCTTTGAGCATCAATCCAGGTCCTTCTGTGTTCAAACATCCAAATGTAAGGGATATTAGACTTTTACTCTAAAATACTTTATTAATACATTTCAATGCATTATCTTTTGTGCATGGATGGATGGATGGAAGGAAGGATGGATGGATGGATGGATGGAAGGATAGATGGAAGGAAGGACTGATGGAAAGAAGGATGGATGAAAGGAAGGATGCATGGATGGATGGATGGATGGATGGATGGAAGGATGGAAGGAAGGAAGGAAGGATGGATGGATGGATGGATGGATGGATGGTTGGAAGGATAGATGGAAGGATAGATGAAGGATAGATGGAAGGAAGGATTGATGGAAAGAAGGATGGATGGAAGGAAGGATGCATGGATGGATGGATGGATGGAAGGATGGAAGGAAGGAAGGAAGGATGGATGGATGGATGGATGGATGATGGATGGAAGGATAGATGGAAGGAAGGATTGATGGAAAGAAGGATGGATGGAAGGAAGGATGCATGGATAGATGGAAGGAATGATAAATGGATGGACGGGTGGATAGATGGACGAATCCATGGAAGGATGGACGGATGGATAATATCTGATAGTTTGTTAGATTATTAAACAGTTTGACACCCATAAAGTAAACAAAGCCGGACTCTCAGCTACATCCTTTTTATTTGTCAGCTGATCCCTCCTGATCTATTTATCTATCTGAATGCACAAAAAGTGCTTAACAGACAACTACAAGTTAGCTTGATATATCGTAAATACAAACACATCTGATTGAGTAAACCAGACTAGTAGACTAAAACTTGACTGATATATTTTTTTGTATTTGGTCTTCCCAATTGAGCCACACCATAAGCAGCCCCCTGTTTTCCCCTGCTCAGGAGAAACATCTGCTCCCCCAGACATGCACAGGCCGAAAGAGATGCCGTGCCGAAACCAAAGTACCTGTTCTCGTTTTCGTTTTCATTTTCGTTTTCGTTTTCGTTTTCATTCCTGTCATGGACAGACGACCCATTTCAGCGTGAGGAGAGAGAGGAGCAAGACGTGAGGAAACAGGGGAGACAGCAGGAGAGGGGGAGTGTAGAAAAGGAAGGAAGGAAGGAAGGAAGGAAGGAGGACACGATCTCTACACATTAGAGACACACACACAAACACACACACTGAGCGGACTTAAGAGTTAGAATCAGAGGACCTGGACTGTAAGAGAGCGGGGGTGAGGTTCAAACATTAGAGTCATTATTGATTAGAAAAGAAAAGCAGGAGCACACACACTCTGAACAGGGATTGATCACACACTGTAAAGCACAGCCGCACCACTCAGGTGACACCAATCACACCTCTTCTGAAGTTTCCCTGTATTCACCTCTCTCACACTCTGTCCTTTCACACTTAAGCAAAGCCAAAGCAGAGCTATGATATGATACAGTTTGTATGTACATTCCCTAAAGCTTTGGATAACATAACATATATATTCTTGATAATATGAAATAGATATTCCCTTTATATGCAGGAAACCATACGATGATAAGATGAGGGATTTATCTCGTTCTAGAGAGCCTTGAGCTTTGACATTAGGAAGAAGTGGATTTAAAGACTTTATATGCGATTTTTCACACTTAAATGTAGAAATCAAGTATATCCTCTGAAAATAACTCTGTGAGTCATGACTGTCTACAATGGGTGTAACACCCGAGTCCCACTGTCTGTGATGTTTTCAGAGTTTTCAGAGTCCTATCTTCAGTTTGTTTACATCGCCGGGACGGCCAGCTGACTCCTCCCCTCATGTATAAAAGTTGTTTCATTGAGGGACTAGAGAAAAGAAGAATAACATACTGTACTCACTGCTTAACTGTGTTTCTAGATCACGCTCATTTCAGGTAAATTTACATGCAGTGTGAAGATACGAGTATAATAAAGATAGCTAGCATTAGCATGCTAACACAACAATGCAGCGCGAGTTGTTTTGGTTTCATGCTGGTGCTCAAGGGCGACATCTGCAGGATCAAAAAATTGCATATAAAGTCTTTAACCTTCAGCTACAAAAGTGAATCCAACAGGAACGTACCTAAAACCTGCATATTGTTTTAGGTACTGTTATTGGCCAACAGGGGGCGACCAGAGCCGAATTTGTATTTCAGTCTACAGGATCGTGAGCTTACTTCTCTCTTGATTTGTTAAAAAGATTTTGTTCAAATGGGTGCAGGAGGTTTGTTTAGTCAGTTGTAAAAGCTGATAAAGCCGAGTCATAAAGCACAGTATGCTTTACTCCAAGTGTTCCTGTTATCGACAAGTCCCTACCAGTACTGTCCAATCTGCTGCAGAGACATTGCAATTTAAATGGTATAGCGGTTAGGTTGCGTCCCATGAATGGAGGCTATCATTCTCCAAACGGGCAGCTTGGGTTCTAATCGCTCCTTTCCTGCATGTCATCATTCCCCACTCTATCTCTGGTTTTCTACTCGATCCACGATCCTATCAAATAAAGTCATAAAAGCCCAAAAATATATCTTTAAAAAAATGGGATTCATGAACCAATATGTGATGTCATGTTGACTACACTGCAAAAACTCAACTCTTAGACAGTGTGTTCGTCTGATTTCTAGTCAAAAATGTCTCATTACATTTATTATAACCCACATTCAACTGACAAGTCCAGATAAACTTATTTTTTTTAAGACAGTACGAGCAAAAAAGTATTATTGTTTTGCTCATAATGAGTACAAATAACTGTCTATGCAGCAAGAAAAATGTACTAGTTATAACCTCTCATTTAGGACATTACATCTGATTTTAACAAACTTAGGAAGATCATTTTGTTTTTTGCATTGGTTGCCAGTTTTTTTAGATCCTGGTCATTTTGTGTAAATTTACATGCTTTGTGAACCTCGGGCTAACTAAAGAGCGCTAACATTAGCATGCTAACACAACAATGCAGCTCGAGACAATTTTGTCCGCCACCTGTGCTTAGTGCTTAATTATGGTGCGTTCTAATTTCCTTTGTCCTTTGTGCAAACGCGAAGGGAGGGGGGTTGGAAGTGTGTCGCTGTAGGAGAGCAGAGGCTTCAGTATGGAGGAGGTGTGGCCAAACAGCAGTTTGTCTTGGTTTCATGCTGGAGCTCAAGGGCGACATCTACTGGATGAAGAAGTTGCACATTATTCCTTTAAGTGTAATTGATATGTTTGACTAGGATTAAACATTTACCCTTTGCTAAGATGTGAGTTTTTGCAGTGTATTTCCACTTCTTTTCTACACTCTCTGGTCTACAACTAAAGGTTAAAGATTTAGCGCCACTCTCACACAGCTGAGTTAGAACGTGTTCATAATGGGATAAGTTAAATGTGTGTTTTTTAGTGAAAGTGGACAGACACAGAAAGAGGACAGACTCATTCTTCATTCAGAGGAATGAAGAAACAAAGATCATTCGGACCTGCAAAGAAGCAAGAGATACATCACTTACCAACACATTACAGCATAAACAGCACCAGGCATCACTCACTCTAAAACTAGTCACGTATAGAAGCTTTGTCAGCGGATGAAATGTAAAACTATGACTCTGTAGGTGCCCTTCAGGCGTCATTTTATGGATGCTTTACTGTATCGTTTTAATCTGCCTCTGAAATCCCGGACATATCTTAAACAGAGAACACGTCTGCTTCAGGCGGTCGTGGAGGTAAGACGATAAAACACAGAACTTCTATGAAGAAGACATTTTATTCTTTCCTTTGTAAACCAAAAAATAACAATAAACCTAAAAACTAAACTGTTTAAACTGACTAAAAATCTGTGAGCGTGTGTTTTTTTTACACAATAATCTGATGACACTTTCACCAATCCTCCACGTCCTGTAGTGCAGCGGTTTCTCTTATGCTCTTAGACCTCTATGGAATACACAAATGGAACTGGTACTTCACAGCTGTACAACCTTGTTCATGTACTTCATTCAATTCATCCACACACACACACACACACACACACACACACACACACACACACACACACACACACACACACACACACAGCTGGCCTCAGATGTGAGGAGGTCTGTTAGATTATACTTACTGGTAATCAAAGGATCCATCCTGGTCTTTCTGATCTACCTGGTCCAAGGGGAGATCTTTTTTCTCACGCACTGAGGAGAGAACCAAAAAAATGCATTTTCAGCATTTTACAAAGAGCTCCAGTGAGGTCATTGACCAACAGCATCAGCCACATGTTAAGGGATCAAAACGTCTTCTGTTAGTCGCTTTTCAACGTTTGTCTTCAACCTTCATTTATTAAACTGTTAGCGAGCCCTGTGCCCTACTCATCCTCTAATATACTTTACTGTATATAAACGGACTGAGTGCTACTCTCACAGCTCAGTACAAGAAATGACTGTGATCTGCCATCCTGCAATAACAGGATATAACACAAGAGGCAGCTTGCAGCAAGACGGCAGCAAGACATAACATCAAAAAGCTGTCATTAAATTTGAAAACTTCAAAAAGAAAAATGTGTCTGACAGAGCCAGGACGGTGCTGGGCAAACCTGAGGAAGCTACAAGAGAAATGCGTTGATCGCTCACAATAAAATATAGTAAAGATATTTTCAGTGTGCCTAGACTTATGATTTATTTTTCATGTTATGATCCTGCAGCTGTGCGCACCTGAGAACATGTTGTTTACCCTGTTGGGCATTTAGAGCCAGGAAGATGTTGGATACTGATATAAAAGGGAAGACATGAACTGTTTACCAATAAGGCTGCAATAAAGAGAATTTATAGCTGGAATAAAAACAGACCTTTCCTATGTGGATGTGCAGCACCTTTGCACAGCTACTCCAAATCCTATAAGACTATACATGATCTCAAATACCTTAACAAAGAATACTTGACATTATGATACGACATTCTCAACCATTTCTTTGTGATGACATCATTTCTAAATCAACACATTGGCTTATCGATATATCAGCTGAAGTCAGGTGTTCATTAAGGCCTAGTCCACACGTAGGCCGCTATTTTTGAAAACGCTTTTTCTGTGTGTTTTGGCCTTTTTAAAAACTCCTTCCAGGTGACGGAGAAAACTGAGTTGTGTTCTTGTGACGTCACACTGTGCTCCGGTTTCTCCTCCGTGTGAAATCATTGTGCGACGCTGTCACTTTTGTTGACATGAGATTAGTGCGATGGCAGACGTGACCAAACTAGCGCTGGTGCTAATGTTGCTAACTGGACTTTTTACACGCTCACACATACATAAAAGCCGTAAAAGCGTCTTTGAGTATTTTGAAAAGCGCTATATAAAATGAATACATTATTATTATTATTATTATTATTATATATACACAGTTACTGTCTCACTATGTTGACGAGCAGCGACATCTGATTGAACTACGGAGGTCACTGCTGCTTCATGCAACACTCTGACCACACAAACACCAACGTCTGCATTTGGATGAGACCCGGTCGGACTTTGGGTGGTGGGACAACTTCGAAAGTGAAATGGTTATGCAAAGGAATGGCGAGAAAATGTTCCCATGTCATGGACATCGTTGTTGGTGACAGTACGTTTTTTTTTTTCATTTTAAGATGTTTTTGAAAATCTGAGCATGCCTATGTGTGGACTAGGTCAGATATTAAACTTTTTTTTGTGTAGTATGGATGAGGGAACGCAGTGCAATATGAAGCATAACCAAAGAGGCCTGTTTCAGAAGCAGTGTTATAACATTGGGCTGGGTTTAAAGACGTGTCAGTGCTGATAATATGCCTTTTTTATTTTAGTTCAAATCTTTATTTGGCTTAGTACATCACCAGCTGTTAGTTTGTTGAAGCATCACACACGGGAAACCCACCTAGATATTTTGCGCAACCAGTTACGCAACTGCGACCTAGACATTATAGAAACTGCAAAACATTAACATGACTCTGATTTCTGTTTAATTACAGATCACAGCTCACAACATGACAGTTTAAGATGATGAATGTTGATGTGAAGATGTTCATGTTTCTGTGCTGCAGCCTCAGGGTTACCCTTACCTGGGTATTTGCCTCCGCGACTCCTCTTGATGAAGCAGACGATGAGCAGGATCAGAATGATGAGGGCGATGGCACACATCAAGCCAATGAACCAGCCCTGGGTGGCGATGTCCACCTGGTCTATGTAGGCTGGAGACACACAGAACACACACACACAGAAAGAGAAAAGAGCAACAACACAGTGAGTTTTTGTCCTGCACCATGGTGAGTCAATCTGCTTCCATCCCAGAGCGCTCAGCAGAGGTCAGCAACGTCCCAGAACCAACAGGTCATTAAGCTCATATCTGCCATACAAAGGATCCAATACCATGACAACAATGAAGTGCACTGTCATCCCAAAAGTGTCTAAGATTACGGTTCATTGTTGAAAATTATTGTTTCATCTAATACAGCAGACAGATTCCAAAGTCAGCCAACATTTTTCACCAGTTTCCACAAATTCAAATCCACAAAGAGTTTTTTCTAGATACGAGCACAGAAATGAATCACTGTGACAATATCATGTAATAAAAAACAAGCATTCAAAATAAAGCTGAAAGGCCATGTCAGACGTCCCCAAATACATCAGTGTGTGGTAGAATCAGCTAAAACAGAATATAGAAAAACTGGTATTTCAGCCTCTGATTTGAAGTCCAGTAGAGTCACTTCTTTGCTTTTCTCCCGTCCCATTTCATAACCGCAATGAGTAAAAAATATATTGTTCCTTCCATGTGCATAATATTTGAATTCAGTTGCAGAATGCAGTTGTCAATTATAATAAGTAACAAGCAATAAAGATCTTCTTCAGCACCAAAATGATACTTCATATACCCATTACGTCCATGCACACTATTCAACAAAGAACCAAGATGTTCATTGTCTTGTCATGTCAAAAGTCATTTTGCTTGCTTTGCAGAAATTTGAGTTTTGATTTGAATGTCAGTTTTGTAGAAAGTCAAGTTTCATCTCACAGTGTTCACCTTTTGGAAGAACATACATGCATTCATCAAACAAAGCATAAAAACTCTGAGCTGAGTTACTGCAGATACAACAACAGACAAACTTGCACCCTGAGTGGCCCATCCAGCTGGAACAACGGTTCCACCATGGCCAGGCGGGGTCTCACCTGGTTTGGTCTTAAAGGTGATCGTTTTGCTGCTGACGCTGTTGAACTCATGGGAGTAAACCCTCAGATGGTACGTGGCGCCCATGATCAGATCCGCCACTGAAACGGGGGGCGGTTGTTTCATCGGTACAACTTTCACCGACTTGTCGCCTTGGAGACACAAGAGAGGGGCCAATCACACTCCAGGGGGTGTGGCCTTGTGGTTCCACAACAACAACTGTGCTTGCTAACAAAGGTAAAGGCATCACAATGCTATGGCGACTAGTTTCTCTGAGTGATAGGAGGGTTACCGAAGTGAAATGAGACTAATAACAATGCATTGCCAACCCCAATCATATTTAGAGGTCAGTCCAGCTGTTGGTTGATTTTCCTTATTTTAAGACTACATTTTTCTAAGGGAAATTTCTTCTCAAGCCAGCTGCACCATGTGGGGTCCACATGGATTGTACTTTTGGGCTAATCTTATGTATTACATCTGGTAGCTAACTAGAACTGTAACATGTTTTCCAAGGCCAAAGCCCAGGTGGGTTGATGAACAGCCTTGAACAGACTGCACCAACAATTTGGCCAATACAGTCCCCATGTTTGTTGTCCCAATGGACTGATCATTTCTGGTTGAGGTCTTCATAGCTCTATCAGCGCCCTAGAAGCTGAGATTCAACTCTCAACCTTCAGGATAGAGTCGATGTTTTACCAATGTCAATTCATTTAATGTGTGCCAGGTTGCACTGTATAACTGCAAGTCCCAGGTCTGTCTATTATTTTGTGTCATTTCTGATTCGGATTCATGAGATGGCTTGGCTTTTGCAGCTCATGAGAGAAACATCCTGAATAGCTCTCTGATTTCTCTTCTTGGAAATGAAATTAATCTGTAATAGGCTGGGAAACAGTGAGTCAAAAACATGATCAGATCTCAAAACAAATTTAACAGGTCTCAGGACTTCCTCTTTTTCTTGGGTTACACTGGGATCTTGGGTGGCAAAGCATTGTTGGTCTCAGTTAATCACAGCCCCACACTTAAATCCACGAGGTGAAAACAATAAACCAGCAGCAACACTCTGCGTCTTTCTGGTTGAAAGACGTGTCAGTCATGACATGGCCGAGCTATGAACATGACTCCGAGTGCGGTGAGAGGAGGTGGTGACGTCATGCACCATGCTATCAACCGTTTCAGCAGGTTGATGGTATCCAGCAGAACTCATTCCAAAGCCATGCTGTTAATACAAGTCCTTAAACCAGCCAAACATCCAACGCGGACACAAGAGAAGACATGCCTTTCTTGTTTTTGGAGACAATGTTTAGTATTACGATGTAATACGACAATATTAGTATATTCAGTTTAATGCAAGAACAACTTGATGGCTTATATGCACATCACAGAGACTTCTAAAAGTTTTATATTTATCTTACTACAAAGTTTTCTGCTGTTTCTTTTTAAATTTATTTATTTTTCTGTGTCTATGATTATGGTCAATAAACTTGAAACCAAAGGATAATGGCTGTGGAAATGTTTTCATAAAAAAACTGACTACATTTTGGAATGTCTGAAAACTTTGGTTACACTTGGGGTTAAAATCTAAGCAGACCCCTTGCCTTACTCAAGCTATGTCAAGTAATGTCAAGTATTGTCACAAGAATTTTATCAGCACAGGTTAGAGTCTAAATCTAGCTGCTCATTTCCCTCTGCAAAACAATTTCGTTTATCTTTGCAATACAGGGTTTTCTTCTGTCATGCCACCAAAGCATCAGCCTGCACCTAAAACCCATTCTGACAGACATGCAAGAACACCTGCATCAGTAAGTAAGAGATGGGGGAGGATGAAGGGAGGTGGATGAGAGTCAGAGGCTCCATGCCACTCTTTTTCAGAGTCAGAGTTTTTAAACTTTTAAAGGGAAAAGTGTTGGAGCAATGGAGGCCTCTAGATCAGTTTCATCACCCCTCTGTCCTCCCTTCCTCTCTCACTTTCTCTTTTTCAACATTCAGACATCAAAAAGTGTGAAAGCCATTTCCCAAATACTTGTAAAATACATCCTCCCTTCTTTCCATCCTTGATGAAAGATCACAGACTTGTGTTGAATTGGTAGAAAGAAACAACAGAGAGTATACAAGCGCCAGACTGACCAATCTCAACCAGCTCTGAATCCCAGAAAAGGAGGGGTGATGTGTTTTGTAGAAACAGAGTGCTCCAAAGCGTTCCAAAGCAAAAGCGAGTGGTTATGGAAGCGTATTGATGGTCGAGGGAGTGAAACATTTAAGCAGCATTTTTAGAAAAAGCAAAGCGAGTTCATTCACAGTGCTGGTCCAACCAGAGCCATTCAAAGCCAGGCAGCATGTTGAAAAGAAACCATAGTGACGGTGCGCTGAACAGGAAGTTATTAGTGACATGATGACGGTCAACATATTCCAACATGAAGAGACGAAAGAGAGACAGTAGATGTAAGTCAGTAGATACAAATATCACATCAATAAATAAATAAAAACCACCGTGCCAACAGTTCAGCAACTGCTGCAGGAATTAAAGGTCATCTCTGGGGGGAATATATTTACATAGTCCTCTTTCCTTCCTAATTTTGTGACATTTACCCTTTGTGTTCTCACCTTGCTTTTTCTCAAACTTGATTGTACTGTCAACAAATGGCTTCCCTAATGGAGCTCTCTTAGATTGTGTTGGGAAAGGATAAGTAAAGACACACTTCAGGTCTGTTTGAAAAGGTAATGATTACCTAAGAGACACTGGATTATTCTTGAGTAATTCCATTCAAAGTTATTCCAATTCCTCAAACTTGATCCATATACTGTGGATAAGAGGTGGGTGCAGCCTCAAGGATAGAAAAGTGTATTCAATGCCAAAAGGCATTTAATCTGTATTCTTTCTACTGGCCAGCAGTGGGAAACTACTCTGATTGCAGAAGAGAATTCTTTGTTGTGTTTTCAAAGATTTGTTTGTTGGCTTTTATGCCTTTTATTTGACAGGACAGTGGATAGAGTACTGTAGGGAATTGGGGGGAAGAGAGTGGGTAAAAAGATGCAGGAAAGGAGCCGCAGGTCAGACTTGAACCTGGGCCGCCTGCTTGGGCTTAACCAAATTAAAAGGCTATTAGTGGCCTGCTAAAGAGAATTCTAACAGTGACCCTAACTATGAAGTAATACTTTACCACTGTTAACATTTTATGATGAATTTTGGTGTCAGACGTTAATTTCAAGTCTGCCAAACACAGCATGCTGTCCACTTTGGGGATTATGGTCTCGTTGCAAAATAGATGATCAGAGTATAGGGCATACTTAATAGTTTGGTACCTTTGATTGACAAGTTGCTACAAAAGTGCTCTGTCATTAAGAGAAGAGTTGATTCAATGTGAATCTCTCTTTGTTTGGTTCCAGCCAAAGGCCAAACTTCAACCTTCAAAGATTGTCAACAAATCATTGGGTGACATTACATTGGCTACTTCCACTTTTTATATATAGTCCATGAAATGAACCTGACAGTGTGTCCACATTGCCTTTCATATTCAGTCCTTTTTTAAATTACTCAAAGCCCCTTATAGGTAAGCTAATGTTCTTGAAAAAAAAAACCATTAAACTAATCTAGTCTTTGTCAAATTCTGGATTTCTTATAAAACAATTACAGTTCTTTTTAAGCTACTTTAATCAGTTTTGTGATTAGTTTTTTTTTTGGTGGATAGAACTTTGGGATAAACCAAACCAATCAGGAATTTTTAGGTTCTTAATCCAAAAACAGTAGCTTGTGAGAGACCAACATGTTCTGTATCTGATCTATAAGGTTGCCGATGGTTCCCTCTCTGTTCATTGCTAAAACCAAAAAATGACATTATACATTTGACCCAAAAGCCAAATGATAGGGGGGCTTTTCGAAGACTGGTCAAGTGCTGGACCTTGAAGTTTGGGAGAAAGAGTGGAGTTAACTTTCATAATCACTGTTATTTGTTCTTTTCTGCTCCTATTCTTTGTAACCTGTGATGTTTTAGGTTCAAATTGATCTTAAGCTTTCTATAGCGCAAGCTGGGCTTGGTCTGGTTTCTTACTGTCCAGTGTGAACTCTAGCACAAACTCGCTGCTGCCGGCCGGGAAGTTGTGTCTCCAGTTGACGTTAACGTCGTTAATTTCAGGCTCCACCGTCAGATTCCAGATGTCCAGCCCAGGGGCCACTACACAAGAGGGGGGGATCAGGGGTAAAGGGTTGGGCAAGGAGCAGAGAGGGCACAGTTACAACAACCTCACACGGGGCCCCATTTAGACTTATATATGGTATTAGCACCATTGGAGTCTTCCTACCAGAATGACCAATTTGTTCAGGATCCACTCAAAACCAGAAGGAAACTTAACATGTTTATGGACAGAAAAAATGTCCCAAGAAATTTAAGGTGATTTCCCAACACCTGAAACACTTTGTTGCCATGTTTACCTCTGAGTTAGAGTGGACGTCAGTGCTAATTTACCCTAAAAACTGAAGAAGACATGAGTTTCTCCCAAAATCACAAATTAGCCTGCCTCCATTTTCCATTGTATGTTTAAGGCTACGCTTTCCAAGAACTTTACAATATTCGACATCAAATTAAAAAGTTTGGATTCTCACTTCCTGACCAGGAGGATATTTGCTGGCTACATCCCAATATTCTTAAGTAAATTCCTTTTTGTACAGCAGGAACGGCACAGCGTATTGGAATGCAGCCAGATGTAGTTTCCTGTTTCGTCAGGTGGGAGAAGACCTTTTGATTCCAATAAAGTACCGTTCATGGTCAGCTACAACTCTACAGACAGTAGAAACCAAAATGGGACAACAGCATGTACCCAACACATTTTGATCTATACGCTTGGTGGGGACCAGCACAGGAGTTGTGGTGGTCGTGGTCGCCTCGGTTGTAGTGGTGGTGGGGGTTGTGGTGGTGGTTGTAGAAGGAGTAGTCGTGGTCGTAGTTGTAGAAGTCGAGGTACTAATGGTTGTAGGAGCGATGGTAGTAGGAGGATGTGGAGCGGGAGGAGGAGTAGGGGTGAACTCTGAAGCCAAGGAGGCGTCGGTAAGCTCGACTACAGGAGGCCGAGGTGGGAGAGAGCAAAGGGTTAAAGACCAGTAGGAGCAGGAACATAAGACAGTCAAAGACACTGACACACATCAGAGAATTCAATGATTATGGAGCTCAATTACACAATGATTTCCCATGAAGCAGCAGCAGCACTCGTCATCATCATCATCCAATAAACAATCAAAATGTTCTAGTCATTGTTTCTCACTTCATCTCTGCTGGGATCCACGAACACACCATACATTTAAATGTCACTGCTACCAAGAGGAAAATCTCTGTATAGAACATGTACTGTGTGCATTACAAATGAGTAGGTAGTTCTCATTTCAACATGCTGAGCATCATGTCAGACTGACAAATATCCAAGTGAGTCCTAACCATGATCTAAAAATCAAATTTTGGTTGAAAACAGGCTGAAAACAATTTGGTCCATCAAAGACCTCATTGCAACCACTTTATCAACCAGCTAAAATATAGTAACAACATCAACATGTTACAGAAAACTATTCTTAAACTTAAAAACTTTAATAATCTGTTCATTGTAGGTTTACAAGGAGGACAAAATAATGATTTCAGCGTCATTTCTCCAAAATAATTTTGCAGTAGTTTGTATGAATCCTGTCTTCGCAAAGACATCATCTCAGCGTATTTTAACCTTCATACAAGAACAGTTTGGGTATATTTTGTGGCCAAAGCCATTGAACGGCAGACATACTGTACATGCAGATAATTCTCAGATTAAATCCAACTCAATGTCTTGATTTTATCATGGTGTAGTTAACGCTCTGATCAGTAAAACAATCAATTTGCCACAGTCTGGGATGCACCTTGTATATCGCTGGTTATATGTGTGTAAATGCGTCATGAATCATGAAGCAGTTTCACGATGAATTAAGGTTTAAAAGTAGATGTTTTTTACTAAATGTCCTTAAATAGTCAGTGAAAAATAGTTCACTTGTGAACAAGTTTGGAACGTTTTTTCCAACAGTGACCACACATTTTTCAAATTTGAATGGAAAAATGCGCAGTAAGATGTTTACTTTTTCAGAGCAGGGTTCACAAATTTTTTGACCAAGGGCCACTTTCTTGTGAGTACTGAGGTAGTTATGCATATAGTATTTATAGCAGACATCAAGATTACACTGGCATGGAAAATTTTGAACACTCTGCATTTGTCGTGTAACACAACAGCACCCTCTTCTGGACATTTTGAGCAGAACATCCTTTACCCCTTCATGCTTCACTTTTACTGTACCTTGAAGTTGAGGTCGTCTCCGACCCATGAAGGCGGTGCTGAGGCCCCCCATGCAACCAAAATATTACCCCATTTCCAAACCCAAGCCCCACCGACATGCTTGTATCAGCAGGCTCGATGCCAAGCATGCCCTCAAACCAGCGTGCGAGGGGAAGAGAAAGTAGGACGAGATGATAGAAACATCAGCATGTTTAGGAGGTGTTACAACCCAGTGAGGCAGACCGGTTCAGCCCAAAGATTCAAGTCACCTTACCTGCACTACCCAGTACTTTTAAGTACACCTGACTGGGTGAACAGAAGCCATGGACGAAGATGACAGAATGACATAAAAGCTCAGCAGCAAGGCGAAAAGGCCAATGAGTGAGTGTGCAAGCCAAACGCTAAGTATTCATCCCAGAAATGGTAAGAAAGTTGCATCATTCATCCAAATTTTTCTCCTGTCAGGGAATTGATGCATGAACGCATTCTTCTCACGTCTCATCACACACACACTTTGAAAACAGCAGCAGCATCATGACACTGTATCCAGCCTGAATGAATGAATGAAGAACACAAAAAGCAGTGTAGCTGCTTGTGGCAGACAGAGAGAAGCGGTGATGCAGAGAGATTGCTTTGTAAAACGTGCACCATCAGGGATTGGGTCAGAAATTAGAGGTTAAAAGTCAACATGAAGGCAGAGATAGCAGCAATCAGGGTGTGAGTCCTAATCATGACTTGTGTAAATGTTAAGTAGTGGATTTGATCTTTCTGATATCTTAAATTTTCATACAGCTGGGCCACATATTCCCTAAACTAGACGTGTGAATCAAACAAGGAGTTGCTGCATTTAAAGGCCTGAATGTGTCTTCAATCCCTGACAGCACAAAGCTGCAGACAGACAACAGCTTCGAACGCAATGGAAAGATGGAGGGATTCAGAAAGGCAGATGGAAGGATGAATAAAGAAAGAAAAATTGGTGTATCCAGCAGTTCAGTCCACCACTGTAGACATATAAATACACATTTGGATTTGTTGAGTGTGTAACTGAGCACTAGTTTTAAACTGTTTTGAGTTTGTCTCAGCCATCAGCTGTAATGACTCAATTCCATCTGTGAACTTCAAAGCGAGGCTCATACCTTAAGAAAGTCGTTTTTTAAACTGACAGCCTCAGATTGTGATTGTTTGACAACATTACACAAAGGATCCTTTCAAACATAGACTTTAACCAGAGCCAACACTTAGATCGTTTTCTGCAAAGCAATGAAACATTCATTTTACCTTGCAGAACACAGGAGAGTTACTGCTCTACCTCTGCAGCTTTTATTTTTTCTTTGACTCTGGTGTTTTTGAATGCTTCATTTGTACTCATTACTATGAAGTTAGACTGCACTGCTGCTTAAGACGGACAGATAAAATGTCAGACATGGAGGGTGGTGCTGGTGGTGGATAAAGGCGACAGGCAGACAATCTGTTGCTTCTCTTTTCTTATTACCTAGCCCTGTAGTGTCAGTAAAGTTTTCTGCCAACAAAAAGAAGAGAGAAGGGGAGACAGAGGAGAAATTGGAGAGGTGTAAGCAGGACAACAAGAAGAAGAGCGGCTGACAGGTCAGATAACAGATATTCCCACACTTCATAGTATGTATATGTGTGATGTGTCCACGTTTTGAGATATCTGCTAAAAGTCCTGTTCACTAAGCGCCAAGGACCCTGACGTGGAAAGAGCTGTTCCTGTTGAAGTTTTGCTATTTTCATTTTGGTTGTGTGATCAAAAGAAACCAATTTACATTAAAGGTCCAATCAGTGAGATATGTAGAGAGTAAAATGATAAAGGTATCTTACTATCTGATCAGACATTAAGGAAACATGCTATGTTGAAGTGCTGGCTTCTCTGACAACAAAGCAGCAGCCAGTATGTCCTCCTTCTAACTTTAGATTCTGTTCCTGAATGCTCTGGATTTGTTTGGACCAGAGAAGGTAGGCGGTTTTAAGGCAACCCCCCACACGGCCGTTTTGGACGCCCCTCGGTTTGCCAGATATGAGAGCAGTTATCAGGTCAACAGGTGTTGCAGCGATGGAAGCGGGTCAAGAGAAGTGGTTCAGATAGAAGTGATTGTACCCGACCTAAAAAGCCTCTGCATGTTTCTAATAAGCTCCACGAGCAGAAACGTGCTCAAACTAGGATCAATATTGGAGATGCTTTTTGAAAAATGGAGAGAGGTTAGAACACAGAAAGGTTTACAGACCCATGCAGAGCTGGATAAACACTGAAGCTTCAGAGTCCACCACATGGTGACCTGTGTGAGCATCGACTGTAGAGAGGAGGGGGGGGGGAGACAGCTCTACAATGTTTAGAATTTAGACTGCAGTACCCATTTTTAACACTAGGTGTCAGAGTTACATATTGCTCCTTTACAAAAATGTGTAAAACTTTTGTATCCACTATCTAAAACTATCTGTGAGATGAAGGAGAAGTGAAAGGTGTAGGAGGACACAGCTGGCACTTCTCATATTCTTCTTCTAGTTCAACTCCAGGAATCTGTCTTTGCCCCGCTTCATATCAGAAATCATCTCTTCAAATAAAAGGACAAATCAAATTCTCAAGACGATTCAAAACATTTCTCTGGAAGACGAACCGGTTGAAACATTTTAAGCATCAGCGAGAGTAATAGTATTTTTGTGGGTTGTTTTGAAAAACACACACACCTTCATTGGCGAAGTGCGGCGACTCCTCTGCAAACACCTCCCCCGCTCCCACCTGTGTGAGCGCTGACAGGTAGAACCGGTAGCGGGTGGATCTGTCCGGCAGGCGCAGGGTGAACTCTGTCACGTTAGGAAAGAACGTCTCCAACTGAGGACGACCAGCTCGGGAGCCGTTAACTGCAAACACATTCACAAAAAGACAAGAGGGCAAATTTAATGACTAGACTATTATATGACTAATTATAACAGTAATTGATGAGCAGTTATTACACAAACTTTCACCAAAGTAGAGATAGCGCTTCAGCACGGTAAGGGCTAACTGGGGCTAGCTCACCAGCTGTCATTGGGTGAGAGGCGGGGTTACACCCTGGACTGTTCACCAGTCAATCACAGCGCTGACATATAGAGACAGACAACCAGCCACACTCACATTCACACCTACAGACAATTTAGAGTCACCAGTTAACATTTGTTAACTGGCATGTTTTTGGACTGGAGAGAACCCACACATGCACAGGAATCACCATACAGCCTTTCTTTCATCTATCAGTCATTCATCAAATCAGTATGTCTTGGAGTTAAGATGGAAATTTAAATTCACTTAAAATATTCCTGCGATTTTGGATTCATTACAAAAGGACAACCCCCCCAAATTTATTTGTCCCCAGGGGGCAATTCAAAGGCACACAGAGCAGTAAATTAACAACAGTGCAAGTAAACGAAACATTTTAACCTAAATATAAAGTGTCAATTTAAATAGAACTTAAAGCTCAAACTTAACTTAAAATACAAAATATAAAAAGAGTAGATATAAGTGGACAGTGATCGGACTAACAGATGTAAACAGAACTATGTGCAGTAAACGAGGAATAAATATATATATACAGAGCTATGTGACAACAGCTGGAGCTGGCCTAGAGGTCTAAAGACTATAAAAGGACACGATGGAATACTGAACACAACATACTACTGAAACTTTGAATATATATTATACTTTGACCAATCAGAGCGGCTCACCTGTCCGGTACTTGAGCTGGTATCCAATCAGGATGCCGTTGGGCTCCAGAGGTTTGTCCCATTCCAGGTGAATGGTGTCAAAACTTCTGCGGTTTATCCTGAAGAACTTTGGAGCGTCCGGCACTATGAAAAACAGACACACACAGACAAACAGAAACACAGACAAAGAAAATTACACAAAGAACTTTAATATGAAGCTAAAAAGAGAAGTGGGATTTGAGAAGAACAGAGGAGGACAGAAATGCAGCTGCACTACCACATACAGCCACTAGAGGCTGACAAGCTCCACGTAGAGATCACCTCCAACAGTGCAAAGATATCTCTTGAAGTCTCAGCTCTCAGTCTTTCATATGCAGATTTAAAACATTTACCAAGCAAAGGATTTTTTGCACGTTTGTACAGCATCAGAGTGACAGTTAACATGTTGGGTGTTGAATCGTTTTTTTAGGGTTTCAGCCTTTATTACACTGAAAAGATGATTTCCACTTGATTATCGAAGGCTTCTAACCTCTAACTCAAATCTGGGGTACACTACTTCAGCAAGAAAAAGGTAGATTTGGGATTTTTTTTCACCATGAAAACGGTAAAAACTACTTCCTGAATATATGATTGTGCAGAGTCACACTTATGATGCATCTCGTTATAAAACTAACTCCATAATCTGCTATTCCTTTGCAATAAGCTTGCTAGCCTTAGCCTATGGAAGAATACACTTAAACATAAAGAGTGCAGAGACAGTTTGCATTGATGTAGGCTGCTGGGAATGTTTTCAAACCATTTCTGCATGAAGTCAGTGATGATACCAGAATTTAAGCAACTTCAAAATAAAAGCCTACCCTGAGCCTACATTTGGACTTTTTTGGCTCCAATCACAGAGATGAAAACATCATGGCAGCGCGTGTTCACCTGCATTCTGGATTACGATGCACATTTGGAAACCCATGTGTGTGGTATCAATACTTTAAGATGCAGTATTCCTTCATGAACTTTTCTGTTGCTTTCCTGCAACAACCTCAGGACTCACACGCTACCTCTGCCTCTGAATTCTCTAGCGACACACATTTCTCTCCTGGGTGTCACGCCTAAGTCACCGCAGCTACGTCCTCACCTCCCTCCTTGGTGGTGAACGCCACCGTGTTGCTGCGCGGACTCTCGAAGCGACTGTTCGCCGCCACCATGAACATCTTGTACTGGGAGAAGGGCACCAGGTCGCTGAGGATGGCGGACGGCTCGGCGGCAGTGGTGTAGAAACCTTTGGTCTTCTTCTCCTGATTGACCGCCAGACCAGGAACCAGACTGGACTCACGCCAGTAATACAGCTATGGATTTAGAGGGGAGAGAAAAGAGTTAATGAAGGAGCAGAGCATGGAGAGAAACTCATCAGGGTCTATTTTTAGACCAGCTCTGCAGTCTGTCTTTATTAGAGAAACACAGCTAGGCTCACTCTGTACTCCTTGAACTCTCCCATGATGGAGTTCATGTCCACAGACTTCCAGTGGACGTTCCCCTTTGTGCTGTCCACCTTTGACACTCGCAGGTCAGTGGGAGCGTCGGTGGGCTCTAAACACAGGAGAAGGAGTGTAAAGATGACCTACAGCCTACATTTCTATATTCACTCATTCACTCATAAACCTGTTAAGTGTGCATGCGCTCACCGTCCTCTCCAGAGAATCCGATGACCACGTTGGACATGGGTCCAGGTCCATGGTCGTTCCAGCTCTGGATTTTGATCTCATAAGGCACGTAGGTTTCTGTGTTTTGGACGACATATTTGGACTCCACCGTGGTCACGTTACTCCACTCCTCCCCGGCGTCCTTCCGTCTCCACCACACGTTGTAGTAAAGGTTTGGACCGTTCCTCTCCAGGTCAAGCAGAGGCTTAAAAAAACACATAAATATTAGTATTTGACATGATTAAAGGCTTTATATGATTTTTCACACTAAAATATAATAGAAATCAAGTATCTCCTCTGAAAATAACTCTGTGAGTCATGACTGTCTACAATGGGTGTAACACCCGAGTCCCACTGTCTGATGTTTTCAGAGTTTTCAGAGTCCTATCTTCACTTTGTTTACATCGCCGGGACGGCCGGCTGACTCCTCCCCTCATGTATAAAAGTTGTTTAATTGAGGGACTAGAGAAAAGAAGAATAACATACTGTACTCACTGCTTAACTGTGTTTCTAGATCACGCTCATTTCAGGTAAATTTACATGCAGTGTGAAGATACCAGCAGAATAAAGATCGCTAGCATTAGCATGCTAACACAACAATGCAGCGCGAGTTGTTTTGGTTTCATGCTGGTGCTCAAGGACGACATCTGCTGGAACAAAAAATCGCATATAAAGCCTTTAAAAATTGACATGGTGCAGCTAAGAGAAACTTTTGTTTTGAGTTGTTTTTGGCTCCCCCCCTGTGGATGATCGCTGCTCTGAACATGAAGCTGCGTCTTTTTAACTTAAATGAATCTTTAATATTTGTCTGCTCTCTTTGGATTTGGCCTCTCCTCTCTTTAGACACAGATCGGTTTGTTTGGTCATGTTTATTGTGGTGAGCAGGTAAAGGACACTTTATAAAAATGATGTTGTTCTGCACACGTCTTACCTCCCATGTTATCTCCATGTTGTCCTTCTTGGAGCCCCACCCCTGCAGACCTCTGGGGATGGCATCGGGGGCTTTAAAAAAAAAAAAAAAAAACACAAAACACTCTCGTTAAACGACATCACCTCCAACAATCTCCAACTTCAGTGCGACTTCTGCACTTTGGTCCAACATGTCTAAACGCTTCAGAAACATCAGAGCTACATCGTCGTGCTCCTCACCCGCTCCGCTGGTCTGGTATCGAGGCGAGGGGCGGCTGGGCTCGCTCAGGCCCACAGAGTTGATGGCGATGACTCTGAACTGATAGTTGACATACGGGGAGAGCTGCAGGATGACAGAGTTGAGGTCTCCGGGGTAAGAGGACAAGTTCTGCCACCGGCCCGGCTCCCAGCGGTCCTCCTCAAACTGGACCAGGAACTCTATGGGGGACACACAAACTGGCCTTTAAAAAAACGGAGCTTTGAATTACTAGAAAAGTGAAGCATTTAGCAGCTTTTACGCTCTTCATGTAAAGTCATTTCATCCCCTCTTCATGAGCCCAAAGAATTAATTTAACCAGCCTTTCTATAAATACACATTATCATTATTACTTAATGAGTTAAAGATCCACTAATCCCAGTCCTCTGATACATTAAAACAGCAGCGTTAAAACCAAAGGAAATGTAGCATCCGCACATTATGACCTCACCCATAAGCTCAAAAACTCTGACTCTCAACCCTTTCCGCTTTCCACAATCCCCCTGAAGAACGAAACTGACGGCTATGTTAGGAGACGATGAAATGGATTAAAGCTGAACCCGATCTGTGAAAGCTGTTTCACCTGACGTGTTTTTGGGAAACTGTTACATAAAGGGGATTGAATCGTTCACATGCAGAAGGATTTACGACAAAGCCTCTGCATGTTAGGACTTTACCCCGGCTTTTTGACTTCATGGCGCTGGCACTTTTTGAACCTGGATAGACTGATGACATGGTGTTCAACGGGAGGTTATGTTTAGCTGTTAGGATTTTAAATCGGTGCTAAATGAGGTGCTCTTCTTTAAGTAGCTCTCTACCTGACTAAATTATAAAAAGTAACGCTTCAGTGTGTGCATGCATCCATCACAGAAACCTTCATGCATTCACTAAGAGATGCAGACACTCTGAACACGCTGAAGTCTCTAAAGTCTAGCTAATGACTACTAATGTTGAACTTATAAATAAAACCTGTTCAGGAGAGAAGTGTGTGTGTATACTGACGTGTGACCGGACTCCTGTGGTCGTTTCCGGGGATCCAGGTGAGGCGAACGCTGCGTTCAGCTGGATCTGAGAGATCCAAATCTGTTGGAGGGTCTGGACGGTCTGCAGAGAAACAGGAAATAACCTCAACAAAACATTGTGTACAACTAGACGGAGAGAAAAAAAACATGCAGGAACATGCATACTGCGAAACATCTGACTCTACAGGGTCATTTATTCTCATTTTTTTTCATCACAATAAAACCATCAAATCTTCAAATTAAGGGAGCTGAGTTTCAAAATCATGAATTTGAGATGATTCAAGAAGTTGTTGATGAATGAAAGAGGATAAAACCAGGAGAAAAGAGAAAAGAGCTTCTCTTCTGAAAGGAGTGGGATTAATGGACCAAACTGGATTAACGATTTAGAAATGAGATTAAACAACCCAACAGGATGGATTTTGGTGCATGCATATTTAAAATCCATTGTGTATTAAAAACTGTATATCTGCTTTCAAACACCCATTGAGACAGAACAAATATGTTTGGCACAAATAAAAAACATTGTTAACAGAATAATGACGAGAATGTAAACACATAGCAGAGAACAAACAGTGAAGTTATAAGAAGATAAAAATGATCAGAAACCAAAAGAAAGGAAAAGAAAAGAAAAAGACTTCCACCCGAGCTGTGTGTTACCTGGAGGGAAGGCACTAGAGATTGAGGGGTTGAGGGAGGCTTCCTCTGTAGGGGCGGGGTCAAGGACCAGGAAGTGGGTATAAAGGTTAGAGTTTACAGGTTAGTCTAGCAACCAATCAACAATCAGCAAGGGAGCACAATGGTTAACATGTCTTTTAGTACACATTTGATTAATACGATTAATGCCAGTCAGAGTCACTAAACTCTGATTTGAGACCATCGTGGTGATTTCATCTTTTTCACATTTGAGACTTTTGCTTTGACGACGATCTTTCAGACGCTGATGTGAGCCAGATGTTCATTACATGTAAGGCTCTCTTTCTGTGTTTCTAAGCAGAGCGAGTGATTGACAGGAGACGCTTCTCATGACGGCTAAATGAACAGGTTTGAGGTATTTCCTCTGGATGTGTCAGATTGTCAACAGATATCTCATGCACAAGATTGGAATTGGATGCAAGACATTATGATATCAAAGTGAAGAAGAACTTTGAGTCTTTGGGCAAAAATGTCCTCGTCTTTTAAAGGACCAATCTGTAGGATATCTACGGAGTGAAACGATAAAGTGAGCTTACTATCTGATCAGACATTAAGGAAACATGCTGTGTTGAAGTGCTGGCTTCTCTGACAACAATGCAGCAGCCAGTATGTCCTCCTTCTAACTTTAGATTCTGCTCCTGAATGCTCTGGATTTGTTTGGACCAGAGAAGGTAGGCGGTTTTAAGGCGACCCCCCCACACGGCCGTTTTGGATGCCCCTCGGTTAGTCAGATATGAGAGCAGTTATCAGGTCAACAGGTGTTGCAGCGATGGAAGCGGAGCAAGAGAAGTGGTTCAGATAGAAGTGATTGTACCCGACCTAAAAAGCCTCTGCATGTTTCTAATAAGCTCCACGATCAGAAACGTGTTCAAACTAGGATCAATATTGGAGATGCTTTTGAAAAATGGAGAGAGGTTAGAACACAGAAAGGTTTACAGACCCATGCAGAGCTGGATAAACACTGAAGCTTCAGAGTCCACCACATGGTGACCTGCGTGAGCATCGACTGTAGAGAGGAGGAGGAGGGAGACAGCTCTCTACAATTTTTTGAATTTGGACTGCAGTACAAATTCGTCATACACAGACCGTAAGGGCTGGAATCTTTATTGCGCGATTACTTTGGCTTTTGACCTTGACTTCCATAATCTAAAAAAACTATCCAAGTGGACTTTTGTGTTTAAGGATTTATTTCTCTGTTGCTGAAACATTGTGCTCAAAAGAAAAGGAATGATTAGCTGGGACCATTTGCCTGTTTGTAGAAGACAGCTTCAGCAAAGATACGCAACTAATATGGAACTAGAGATATGCAACTCTTTGTCCAAGGGCCACCAAAAATGGACGATCCTCAAAGCTGCAGGACTTGTTCCTGTGGTACACTGGCTTCATGCAAAAAGTCTCAGATGTCAAAGTGATGGTCACACAGGATGCTCAAACTGAGTGAACAGCACAGCTTCACTCAACACTTTCTACTCAGCACTATATGATCTAAACACGCTGCATGCAGAATCAGTGAGAGTACATTAAAGCTACGCTACTTCAGTGTTTTAGTAACAACAGTAACAAAAGCAACAGAGGAATATAAAAGAAGATATCCATGTGAAGGCACGAAGCTGAAAAAACAGTAGAGTCAAGAAACTGTCCAAGACGTGTATGTGTGTGTGTTACAAAAGAGGGATAATGGAGGCGTTAAAGCAACAACATGTAACTTTTCCACTTTTAAATTGTCGCTTCAAAGGTCGATTTAGTCGTATAATGACTTTCAACAGGGAGAATGGCGTCTCTTTGATGTCTACAGCGCAGCACGATTGTCTGTTTACTGCACTATGTAACTCTGGCAGTGGGTCAAGGTCATCTAAAGAGAAGTGTGTATGGCCTTACAAGACCACTTCACACAGCAGCCTACAAAGCAGCGAGTTAGCCCGTCTCTGTACGGTTTGATACAACGGCTGATGCTAAGAGGAAGCGGACGGAGACGGATGAAGCTAAGAAAGAAAAGAGAGAGAGCGAGCGAGGAAGAGGCCGAGCGTAAATCCCTGCAGATATTACTCAGAACAGATTAAGATGCAACGTTAGCATGTATCGTTATTGATGTCATCAATGTACAGTACAGTGTAGCCGTTTAGCCACAGCATTAGTCGTCATGGTAACAGTTGAATACACATACACATAACCCATGTGCCATACATTGCATACATTGGTGCAATGTAGAAACATATTTGTTCAGAATCTGACAATATTACTGAACCTTGTCAGTCGACGTGGTTGTTAATAATGTCTACTTGTAAACAAATGCACGTTCAGGCGTCCAGCACTGTGTGTCTTACGAGAGTGCAGTTGCACTCAGAGACCTTCAGAGGGCGCCAAAGCGCACCGAACTAAATTGCTACATGTTGTTGCTTTAAGTGCTTTTTCTTAACTTTAGTGTTTCTGTTTTTTTTTAAACGCTTTGATAGATCATTTAGAGTGAGGACACGTCAGGGTCCAGAAAAGGTCGTATTCTGTCTCTGTTGTGTACCTAACACAGTGAGGCGGGCTGAGGACGAGTCCTCGTCTATATCAGATTTAGCAGTGCAGGTGTACGTCCCCTCATCGCCCTCGTTCACATTTGGGATGGTCAGCGTATCCTCGTTTTTCTTCAACCTGGGAAACAAAGATTACAGCTAATGAGATGAATCAGTCATTGGATCCTAGCAGTGTTGTGGAATCATATTTACAATTTAAAAACTACCAAAGGAAAAAAACTGGCTGAGTAAAACAATGCTTTAAAAGGTAGACATTGGCAGTGTGTACGTGATAAACATATATTAGATAATATAATATGAGAGGTCACACGCCTGCAAAAAGTTTCAAATAGTTAAATAAATTGTTAAATTGGTTAAATCGTTAGCTTCTTTCTTTTTTTTTGCCTTTGGGGCTCAGACGTGGTCTCTGATTTTTTGGCTTCAGCAGAGACATTCAGAGATGTAGGTGAGCTGTAGGTGTAGGTGCTGTTACCTCCATCCCATGTGGAGAGGCTTGTCGTCCTTCAACCACGTCACGGTGACGGAGAGGCTGGGGTCGGACGTCACCTTGCAGTCGAAGCGAGCCGTGGTTCCCCTGATGACTGTCTGGTGCTCCGGCGCTCGAACGATACGAGTCGCTTCTACGTTGGAGTGAAAATGTATCGGGGAGGAATCAGTGAGAGGTGAAAGTGTGTGTGGTGAGTGGTGAACAGACTCATTTAAACAAACATCGACATCATCGTAATGAAGTTAGATATCAACATAGTTTGTGTTTACAGTATGTTACTGTAAAGGCCATTGGACTGAAGGCACAACAGATGGGAATGTAATCCACAAGCTGCAGACTGTTTGGCACAAGGAAAGAAAATATTTCACACGTTTCATATTCCTGTGGGAGTCCATAACTCCCAGCGTTAAGCTACACGGTGACATCACATTGTGTTCCCTTATACTCACTCAGTGGCCATTTTCCTGAGACACAACATTCAGGGTAACAAGCTCAAATGGTGTGAAAGGTTTGTTCTGCTGGATTTCAGGTTTCAAGTCCTTTAGACGTAGAGAACGAGACCATTTACATCCGTTCAGTGCTTCTAAATAGTACTGTTATAGAGACCGGTCTGGAGACTTTTTGAAGGTCTCAGTCTCGTCTTGGAATTGAAAGCGTTTTCACTCGGTGTCAGACTGGGCGGACTTTAAAATGAGTCCGGTCCAGACCACCACTGACAGGCTATTTTTCCACATCTGTACTGTGATTAGAGGAAAACACCTCTTTCTAAAAGAAGTAATAACTTCAAGTTATTCATAATTTGGATTTGTATCCCCTGGTTACGGTCTAAGTGAGTGGCACGCCCACTCCACACAAGATTGATGTGTCTTGGTCTTGTCTTGGTCTCGGAGCACTGTTCTCGGATATGTCTCGATCAGTGTGGTCTTGAATACAACACTACAACACAACTGCAAAGGCAGGGATACCGTCCCACCCTGAGAGTGATGTCAGAGGAAAATGGCTGAATATGTTGTATAAGATGTATACCAAGTTCTGGTTAGGGTAGGGCGCTGATGAGGTGTAACGTCTGACCTTTGACTTCCAGGCGGACCTGGTTATCGGCCTTTCCCAGGATGTTGTTGGCCACACAGGTGTAGGTCCCCTCGTCCTCTGCTCGGGCCCGCCTGATCTCCAGGGTGCCGTTGATGTAAACCCGATACTGACCTCCATCCAGCCCGCTGCCCTGCCCGTTCTTAAACCTACACAGAGAGAAAAAAACACGAGGACACGGCTGAGAAACTTAAATGATGAACTCCATTTAGTGCCTTGCTAAGAGATGCAAAGAGAATGGTTTTCAGAGGTTGATGCCTGAATCAACATTTTTGGGATGTAAGCAAATAGAAAGGATCTCAGACACTCACCAGCGTAGGACAGGCAGAGGAGAACCAAAGAAAGGACAGTCCAGGAAGGTGCGGTTGTTCTCGATGACCCTGATCAGTTGGTTTTTAGGTCCCAGCATCCTCGGAGGCATGTCTTAAAGAAAAGAGTGTGTCTACGTTGATAAATTGAACTTTAAGGGGTTTAAACTGAATCCAAGTGGTTTGGATGAAGTGAACTTTCCCAGTTTATTTGTCTTTGTCTTCTTTCTCTGTTTCCATGACAGAGATTCTGAATGATTGGAAGAAAGACCTGAGTCGATTCCAGCTAACTTTTATTAATATGCATAATCCAATAAAGGCCAATTGGGTTGAATTAATATTAATCCACCAGGATTCATCCTATCCTAGCTATCATAGGGCGAGAGGCGTGGTTACACCCTGGACTGTTCATTAGTCAGTAAAGAAAAAAAGTTATAAATAAGAATAGATGCATTTAAAGGGGGATTATTAGGATACAGACATTTCAGATTTGCACGTTGGCCTTCTTATCCAAGGTGAGATGGGAGACTCTAATCAATCCAGAGGGATATCCAAGGATGGGTTTGGCCTAGCTTAGCACAAACGCTAACAAATAAGAGACTTCACCTTCATGCAAAGTCAAAATAAATTCTCTGACAACTTCAAACCTGTGCATGTTTTTTTGGCAGAGTAAGTTGGACCTTGAGTTGACCCCATGCAACTATAAGACTTCCTGCAAACATGAAGTTGCAGAAGCTAAAAATAGCAAAAGAGTGTTCATGTTGAAAAAGTGTTTATAGAAAAATGTGTGGGCTAAAGACCAGTGTGACAACACGTGTGGATTAAAAGTAATGTGTAAGTATTTCACGCCGCACAATCAATGAAATCCCGACAACCCAATGGGTATATAGACAACCTTCTCATTTTCATTTTGGCTACACCAACTGGTGAAGAGAGAAAACAACTTCCTGTGACTCACCGAGGACGCTGACCAAGGCGTTGGCCAGCAGATAGCCGTGCTGGTTGGACGCGTTGCACTGATAGACGGCGCCACTTCCCATCTGCACCGAGCGAAAAATGATGGTGTCACCCAGCACCTGTCTGCTGGGGTTAGGAAGAGCGCCTGGACAAGAGGAAGGAGAACACAGACAGATGGTAATGTCAACCTTTGTCTGTTTTGATGGAGTATCAAACTGGCGGCAGTAAATGCATCACATCCGTAAGGTGCCTGAGCGTAGCCTTCATTTACCTTAATCTGCACAATATGCTCAATTTGATCAGGACAGCAGGTTCATCATGCTAACTGATCTTCATACAGCCGGTTTGAAGACATCGAGCCTCATGAGTTATAGTCTACATCCGACCGATCAAGCTCTCTCAGCTGTGCAAACCTGGCAAGTCTCTTTTTTTCAGCCTGATGACTCCCAGTGCTTAAAGAGGAAGTGTGTGTTTGGGAGACTTGTTCATGAAGGTAACAATTCTCCAGAAATATCGTGACAATAAGATGTAATTTGTATTGTATTTTCTCGATTGACACCTTTGTTCACACTTTTAATGCCAGAGTCCTCAGTCTTTACAGCGTCTGTTTGACCGTATCAGATGATTAGATTGGATTTTCTAGAAGTTTTTGTCGATGTACAACCTGAAAACTGAGGGTTTTTTTCTGTGGCCCAGCTGAATCCACAAGCTTTCTGTGTATGAAGCTTGGCGTCCTGTCTCAGTATGTAAAAGGTCATGTGAAAAAAGTTGGACAAATTTTGATTGTGCATTTGATCAATCTGAGATCCACTGTGAGGAACTCCTTCATCCAACTGCCTTTTAACACGTGTCAGACTTCTGTCAGACAGCTCCAAGGCTCTGAGAAGGTCATTCATGTCCTAGTGACCTCCTGCATAGAGTCCTGAACGAGTCTGTGCAAGAACATCGCAGCAAGATCTTTAACCCTGTTCTGATAAATTTACCAGTACATGTAATTTCCTCCGTCCACAGGCTCGGCTAACGACTTAAAATAAGAAAGAAAAGATACAAAAGGTTTAAAGTGTGAGCTTGACTTACTGTCCAATGGCTGGCCATTGATTAGCCACTGGATGTTGGGTTTGGGGTTGCCGTTCGCCCGACACACCAAGCGCCCGTTCTCATCTGGTGCCAGCACCAGGTTCGTTGGTTTGTCCAGCCAATAAGGAGCCGCTTTGGACAAAGGGAGTCAGGTTACAATGAGGGACTCTAATAGGATCTTATTTTGTAGAATAGAAACACGCTTCACAAGTCCAAATCCATTTACAAATTAAATCACAGACTGTATGAGAAATGGACGTGGTCTATTGGTTTCTAAAGTGAGACTAATTTGTCTGAACCTGCATTCTGTTTAATGGCCAGCAGGGGGCGACTCCACTGGATGCAGGACTAAAGCAGATTGCATAAACATCTCAGCTGCTCTTTTCAAGTTTTGTTACTAAAACACGATCATAGTCCGACTTAAGAAGACGACATCAAGGTGGTCACTTCCACTTCTCAACAGGTTACACTCTGCAACCTTCTCACCTTTGACTTGGACAAAGATGGAGTGGCGCACGCTGCCTAATTGATTGTTGGCCATGCAGACGTACTCCCCCGCGTCCTCCTCCGACACGTTGATTATTTTCAGGGTCTTGTTGAACTTCTCAAACTTCACTTTCTGCGCCGGCAGGTCCCCACCCTTCTTGAACCACTTGATGGTGGGCGTCGGCCTGCAGAGAAAAAGAAGAGACATGACGGACCATGACTTTGAGACACTTGTTGTTTGTTAGTGATGTACAATGTTTAACATTTACGCAGCGCACGTTTCTATATTAATGACCTACAAAGAGTCCAGAGAGTTATTCTTTAGCTCCTCTGTCGCCTCCTCATCTCTCTGATTGTATTCACTTGGATCTACATTGAGTGTAACTTCTTCATTATAGTCGTGAATTTATATTTTTAGATGTTCGATCTGCGGATTCCCTCTGCACCTTTAAGAAAAAGCTAAAGACCCAGCTCTTTCATGAATACCTACTAACTTAATGATGATGGTCTCCATATTATTGATGATGATGATGGTAATGACGATGGTTTTTGTTTGATAACGATGTCTTATAAGATGGTTTCTATACTGATTAGAGCTCTCAAGAACTGCCCTCAATGTTGTGCTTTGCCTCTGGTCACTTCCTGTCAGCACCTGTGTGTCCAATCAGACTCAAAGCTGATCGTTTGCTCTTACTGACATTGTTCCCTTTTTTTCTAGATCCTTGCTTGTGTTGTTCTTACTCTCTGATGTACGTCGCTTTGGATAAAAGCGTCTGCTAAGTGAATTGTAGAATTGTAGAATTGTAGATGTTCTTAAAATATGTAAATCTAGCTCTTATAAAAGATACCAGTGTGCATATAATAAAGTCAACATGTCTTAATGTGCAGGGTTCCTTTTAAAGAACGAAGAAACACAGCTGGAAACTCAAAGAAAAAGACAAACAGGTCAAATCAGATCCCACAAAACACCATCACCATGAAGAAAACTATCATGGCCCACCGCAACTACTTTAGCTTGAGGAAGAACTTTGTACCAAAAAGGAATTTGAAAGGGATAAATCATTTTAAAAGTTTATTGGGGCGCTGGTAGCCTAGTGGTTAGTGTGCACGCCCAATGTACGGAGGCTAAAGTCCTCCAAGTGGACGGCCCGGGTTTGAATCCAACCTGTGACTCCTTTCCTGCATGTTATTCCTCACTCTCTCTCTCTCTCTCTCTCTCTCTCTTACTCTCCCCAATTTCTGACTCTAACCACTGTCCTATCTCTAAGATAAAGTCATAAACCTGTGTGTGTGTGTGTGTGTGCGTGTGTGTTTGCTCACAGTCCGGCGGCGATGCACTCCAGCAGCAGTTCTTCATCTCGTAGCACCATCTTTGAGCTCTCTGTTCCCGGAGGTGAGAGGAAGGTCGGCGTGGTCTCAGCTACTTTACGGCCTGTGGACGAGCAACAAGCAGGGCTTAAAACACACACACTAAAAACACACAAAAACACACAAAACAACGTTAAGACTCAAACTCAAACCCAGGAGCACTACACTTTCCCTCTGTACCATGACTCTCCTCAGAACTCTCTCTCTGTAGACGAAGCCTCATAAATCTAACCCTGATACTCTGATTATTTCCTCGTGGCTCTGTTCCAGCTCGGCCAGGCTTCGGCTCGCTCTGCAGTCTGTCGCGGCGGGGACAAAGCAGTCTGTAAACGGGTTTAACTCCCTCTGGCTTCTCTCAAAGAGGGACATTAAGAGATGCAGAAACAAACAACAGGGGCACTGAGCTTTCCCTAATGTTTGCCAAGAGAACAGAGATGGCAAAGATCGAGACTAAAAGTTGAAAAAGCAGCTGATAAACGTGCTCTGTTGTCCTGCTGTAATGAGATTATTGTAACATCAAACTGAAGTAAATCAGAGGTCAGAGAGTTGATGGGGGTTGGCCTTCAGTCCCCTGTGAAACCTTCCTGTACGGGCTTGGCTAAAGCAGTAAGCCAGAGTAGACTTCTGATTGTTGCCCTGCCAAAACGTGAACCTTTTGAGCGCTGGTTTTATGTTTCTCTGAGCTGCTTTTGAGGTTGGAAGACTTTTCTATAATCTATATACACGGTCCTATATCTTCTGGTAATGTTTTACAACAACTGATGGATACTTAGGCATCGATATATTTTTGTTGGCTGGAGCAAATTTTTAAAATCTCTGAGCAAGATCAATCAAACTGTGTGTTTAGCCGAGCAATCTGGGACGTGTGCATACTACCAAGTACTGACTTTGTTTGCACACTACAACAACGTAGGAGGCATTTTAATCAGGCATCCACCGGGTCTAACTCAACCTGTGTTATATACAGTGAAGAGCAGAGCACCAGTTATGCCTTACACACGTGGAAAATACTCAAACTACATCTGGACTTGTGCTAAAAGGGGATTTATTTTTATTGCAGAAAACACTTTATTTTGAAAAGATCTTGTTTTAAGTTTGTCCAAATTAATTTATTGATAGCTGACATGACAGTTAAACTGCTTCCTGTGTTTCTTTGTCAGTTGTCGTTTCAGCTGCTTTCATCTCTTTCTCTTCAACCTGATGGTCGGATCATTAAAAGACGTTGAACCTGGTGACAATGAGAGAATCTGCAAGAGCAACATTCAGTGTAAGAAAGGACTAAACTTTGCTGTTGGTCTTTATCAAATTGAGTTTTCATTTCACCAACTGGACTTAGGTGTATTCTGTTTACACTGCACACTTGGGGGTCATTTTAAAGGTGACATATCCTCCTCTTCTTCTTCAGTGTAAATAAGTCTCAGAGCTCCTCAAAACGTGTGTGTGAAGTTTCTTGTTCTAAATCCACTCTGATCCTGTTTTTGATCATGTCTATAAACCCCTCTATGTCAGCCCCGCTCAGAACAGGCTGTTTCTGTGTCTGTACCTTTAAATATGTAAATGAGCTGTGTTTGACCACGCCCCCTCTCTGGAAGGGCTTTGGGTGTACTCGGTCTTTCTTGCTCCATGTCCTATTGTTTACGGTGAGAAGGCAGACTCAGAGGGCAGAACAAACACCTAGCTGTGGGAGTGTCACCCACCTGGGGGAGGGGCTACTGCCCTTTGTGATGTCATGAAGGGAAAATCTCCTAACGGCCTGTTTGAGCACACATTTTCTTTGATGAAGAGGATGGACTTTTCTCATCAATTGGGGGGTTTAAAGACAGACAATAGGGACACATATTAGTGTTTGAAAAAACTGGGAAAGTGTATTTTGCAGAATAGGTGACCCTTAAACTTTAAAGATCTCATATTATCATCATGTTCACCTTTACTGCTGTGAGTCTGTGAAACCTTTAGAGTATCTTTGCATGATTTGCAGCAAAAGAAAACTCCTTATTTACCTGATACCACTGACTGAACATATCATCCAACAATGCAGAGAATCACACCGTGTGAGCAGACAGCTGCAGCCTGCTCAGAATTTGAAGCATCACATTAGCATTTCACTCCTTTGGGATGCAGATCCAAACAGGATTAAAGCATCTGTTAGCGGTTAGCTTGTCCAGTGGCCTTTTAAAGAGGCAGGGAGTGCATGTGTGGGCACTGTGATAGTTAGTGACACTGAGAGGACAAGAAGAACAACAAGACGAGAAAAAACAAAGAAGAAGAAGAAAACATTAAAGGTTTAGCTAACAACTGCTGGTTTTTTAAGAAGTGTGAGCAGCTACAGCTATGCAGCGGGCGCCATGGCAACCAAACAAACAACCTGCTGAGGATGCTGACAGGACACACTGCAGCTTCCGACGCTAACCTACCCCAAAAGAAGTTGCACTTTTTGGCTAATTGTGACACTCAAGTGCTCATGTGTTTGAGAGCAGGAGTGGTATTTCCATACAAACATGATTATTTATGACCTCAGTATGAATCCAGACTGAATATTCATCACGTGTCCTAATCCTCCCACTCGGCCTGAGAAGCCCCGTTCTGCTTTGTCACAAGGATCACAGGGAGGATCTTCTTCCTTGGGGAAATATCGAAATCTACCCCCTTGGTTTCACTGCCTCCGTGCCCCCCCCCCCTTCAGTAAATGGCCCATATGTTGCCACATTGGCTGATCTCTTCCCTCCAGCTATGGGCTCTGTTAATAGGTGTACCGCATAATGAATACGCACACTCACATCTCTCTGCAATGAACTTGAGCTGAGGGTAATCTGTGTTAATAACTGTATGTTTATTCATCACGTGTGATCGTTTAACACTGATTGAAATGTGGAATAAAGTCATTGTGGACTTGATGAGAGGAATGTGGCGGCCGTGTGAGCGTGTGTTAAGGTCATGGAGACGGCGCTTTGTCTGTTATTCAAGTAACATCTGGTTCGCTTGTACAATGGAAATGATGTCTTTTGGTTTGAAAGCTGACTGAGATTGCTCTGATTGATTATGAAGAAATCGACCAATTTTGCAGATTTGTTTGAACTCTGATGTGTGGAGCTTCAGTGGAGAGTTTTAAATCTTAAACAAAATCAGTCAACGAGGACTTGCTTAAGGAATGGCACACCAAATACCAGCAGCCTCGTAGCCTGACCGCGTATGTGTAGATCATGTTTCAGACAAAACATCCTGTTGTCTTGAAAATGTCAGATTTCGCCCCCCTTGTGGATAATTTCTGTTGTTTCTGCAGCATGCTGTGTATCGTCTAATCTGACACCCACTCCACAGAAGACACGGCAGGCATTACAAATAACGATATAGAAATGATCAATCTCTTGTTTGCTTTGGTCGGTCATAACTGACTTTAGCGTTTACGTCAGTCTGTTTCATGAACAGTTAAAAAATTCTCACAGGAGCTTTGAAAAAGTCAAGACTCAATTATTTTGGAAGGCAGTATGTGGAGAAACACGGCACGGTGATAGGACAACAACTGCCTCCCGGCCCTCTTCTATTCCTGCTAGGAAGTCTAATGAACCCGTTGAAGGAACATATCAGGACATAATACAATTTCTTCTAATGTTGGCTATGAAGGCAAAATATTATGACAAAATGGGTTGGGGATGAACCCCCATACTGTTCACTCGTGGAAATCTCTGATATCTAAAGTTGTGACTTTAAGAACAGTTAAGATACTGTATCGGAGGAAAGGCTCATCTCTTTAAAAGAAAATGGGAGGAGCCCTTGAATCTGTTGTAATGATCACTGAATGGGCTTTAAGGATTGTCTTGCTAATGTACAACATCACTGTCAATCATAAACTGTACTGTTAGATGCTAAATGTGACTCCTGGACCAACTATGCAAATACTTAGTGAGCTTGCACTGAGCTGTTATTGTCTTGTTTTTGAAAATCAATAAAAAGAATGTTAAAAAAAACCTGATATCTGCTAAAGGAGTTCAAGTGGCACCTGAGTTGTTTCAAAGTCAGTAATGGAACAGAAAATAACACGTTGTAAAGCCTAAAGAAACAACACTTTCATGACTTAGATCTCCTGGAAAGAGTCTAAATATCCAACAACCCTTATCACATTTCAACAAGGAAGCAGATTTCTGAAGCTGCAGAGGTTAGGAGGTTAAATGTGTGTCGGAGGTCAGTGCGTGACTCGAGCGTCACATGAGCTAGCAGGTTAGTGTGCTAGCCATGCTACAGTGCGACACGACAGGAAGTGGAGCTGTCCAGACGGAGAGAGTGACTCACCACCGTACGGGTCAGTGGCATTGTAAGACGTGTCATTATACGACTCACCTGAAAACACAATCACACACATTGGATCGTCAGACCACAACATGGACTGAATCAAAAGAAGGACGACATAAACTGCCCCACCAAAAAGTGAAGCCAAAATATTTGGCGATCCTGCTTCGGACTGAATAGAGTATAGGTCATAAGCTCCGCCTCCTCCATGATAACAGATAGGACACTTCAAATAAAGTTTTCTGATCATAGTAAGTTATTTTCATGTCTCAGTGTTAATGCCTCTGAAAAGTTGAGTTTTTAATTTGTTATTTGATGCTCTAAAAAAGGTCTTTAACGACATGACTGACCGCTCTGTTGACAAATGAGGCTCTTGCGGTGCTGTGTGCACAGGATTAGCAGAGTAGAGGTGGAACACTAACACAAGAGGCCCTGAACTTTTAACTGTGAGCGTGTGCTTCAAACCGACACAAGAATCTGTTCTGCTGTGATTTAAGGGATCTTTATCACAGCGATGTAAATGTGTGTTTTGCTTTGGGGGGAGAGGGGCAGGACGTCAGTACCGCGGCTCCACCAGCCGGTCTCTACCATGCAGACTCTGGCTCCAAATGTGCAACATGTCTGTGCCCATCGGGGGTGTATCTTGGCTTCACTTTTGTGCAACAGGAGGGGAGGGGGACATGTCATCCATCTTTTATATACAGTCAACACACTCACAGAGCTGAAAGAAAAGATTTAGAATTATTCAGAAGAACAACATTTCATCCTTCGCTCTTGTTTTTGCAGCAACCTGAGGAGAGACATCATGAAGGCGTCATGATTTCATCTCATGACATGTGCTCGCGTCGCCTCTAGATGGGGATATGTCATATTTCATGTCGGTTGCATTGGTGTGTGATCTCAGCACACACACCGAGAACAGGATGAGTGTTTTGTCTACTCACTGCTCTGGACTTTGAGTATGAAGGGGTTCTTCTGCTGGATGGTGTGTGTGAAGGGGAAGCGGGCGTTGCAGCTGTAGTCGGTGTGCGAATCTTTGGCCAAAACGTTGGAGAAGTAGAGGTCCCCGTTCAGACCCATGGACACCCTCTTATCCTGAGGGATGGGGATCATAGCTGGCGGTCACAGAGGGAGAACAGACAGGGAGTCAAACCACATGAACACATTGGAAGTACGGCCATAAGCAAGGGTGGGTCATATTGATGTAACTGGTAAATGGACTTGAGCTTGTATATTTCTGTGTTTGCACTTATTGTGATATTTGTCTGTCAAGGTCTGCCATGCTGCAATGACAATCTAACATCTAGTACAAAGATTTTCAAAAGTATGCAAATGTTTAAGCAAAGACCCATTGAAGGCGGAACATCTAGCATGTAGATATCTGCATGCATGCAACTCTGCTCCGCGTCACTTCAAGTTAGCTCTGGCAGCCCTGCACATGTGTCATCCTGCAGTCCCTACAGGCAGATGTTGAGTTGCAGGGCGACCCACACAGACGCCCCAGACGGACCGTCTTCTTCACTCCTTCTCTGCATAAAACTGACGCGAGCCGTATGGCCGTCAAGACAGCGCCCCCAGGACCAATCAGGAGCCCGGCCAGCGGTCCTAATCACGCGTCATCCGGATGCAGTGTCTGGGCTGTGTGCCACACTGATATGATGTACAGGGGATGATTTCACAGTGTCTGTTAGTGTGTGTGTGTGTGTGTGTGTGTGTGTGTGTCATAGATGCTTTTCACTCTGTGACTAGACTTCACATCGGCTGAAAGGCTTACAGCTTCACTCTCTGTGGATCTAACTGGGAAGAAAATCTTTGTTTTCATAGAGATGGTTTTCTAAAATAAGTAATTTTTCCACATTTTCCCGCCTCTCCACTCCTGTCCCATGAAGGAGTTATCAATAAGAACGCACCATAAAAGCACCATCGAGCACAAGCGGCAGAAAGAATTGTTCTTTGCTCGATCTGCAATCCCCCCCCTGTGGCGCCTGGGATCAAAATCAAGAAGGGGGCGGGACTTCTGACTGTTACTTTGTCAACAACAATGGCGGAGGAAAAACTTCCAGCCCAGACATTCTTTGAAGGAACCTGAATGTGAGGCTGTGGGTGGCGTTACTTTTTGTGGTGAAGACAAAGAACTAGCTGACCAAAACAGACGACACAGACTCTAGTTATTATAAGTGTGCATGTGTGTTTGTGTGTGTAACTGGTGCTCACCGCTGTTCATCCAGAAGGTTAAGGGAGGAGGCAGGCCCGGTGGGGGGTTGCAGGCGAGGATCAGCGGGGAGCCTTCGGGTACCACCACTGGTTCCAGCACTTCTTTAGGCCACAGAGGAGCCTCTGAAAGACGCAGACGAGGGAGGTGGAAGGGTTTACAAAGACAGAAAAACATGTCGGACATTTCTGGTTATTTTATCAGGCTCTGCAGATCTTATTAATGCTCTCTCATCCAAGACTCCATAAATCATTGAATGTAACACATCTCTCCGAGCGGCAATGTGCGATGCCAACATATTCTAAGTCTTACTGGAGACTTGGAGCAGGATTTTGTTGGACAGAGCCACTCCAAACTCGTTGGTGGCGAAACACTGGTACTCTCCCTCGTAGTCCTCCGGCCGCCCTCCGCTACGGAAACCGATCTCCAGAGTCCCCGAGCGTTTTCGCATCGTCACCCTGGGATCCTTCCCGATGTTGAAAAACTTCCCGTTCCTTCTCCATGAGAACCTGAGCCAAGGAGACGTCCAAAACAAGGGTGAGTATCAACACACCGGGGTTTGAGTTTGATCAAGTGTTTCCTCTTTTTATGAATCTTAAGTAGAGTTTTGATTTTCTCCACATCAAACTGTTACTGCCCAAAGAAGTGAACTTATTTTCATACAAGAACAGAAAGCAGATACTTAAGTTCAACTTATTTAGTTAATCACATTTTTGTATTTCTTTAACGTTTATGGACTCACACATGAAAAACACATGATAATACTTGTATAAGAGGAGACCTTAAAGGCTTTATGTGTGATTTTTTGATCCTGCAGATGTCGCCCTTGAGCTCCAGCATGAAACCAAAACAAGTCGCGCTGCATTGTTGTGTTAGCATGCTAATGCTAGTGATCTTTATTATGCTGGTATCTTCACACTGCATGTAAATTTACCTGAAATGAGCGTGATCTAGAAACACAGTTAAGCAGTGAGTACAGTATGTTATTCTTCTTTTCTCTAGTCCCTCAATTAAACAACTTTTATACGTGAGGGGAGGAGTCAGCCGGCCGTCCCGGCGATGTAAACAAACTGAAGATAGGACTCTGAAAACTCTGAAAACATCACAGACAGTGGGACTCGGGTGTTACACCCATTGTAGACAGTCATGACTCACAGAGTTATTTTCAGAGGAGATACTTGATTTATATTATATTGAAGTGTGAAAAATCACAGATAAAGCGTTTAAGGACAGGAGCAGCATGGGAAAAGTTCAGTCACCGTGTGAAATCGGACTCTTAATTGTTTCAACAACCAGAAAACGTTCGGGTCCCCTGCCTGTCATGCTGGTCGCCACCTCACATTAGTCAACCGGTACGCGACAGCAGAAACAAAAAGCTGCCACAGCACACGCTCTCCATGTGTGATACTTCTGCACCCTAATCCGGCTCCATGTGGCGTTTCCAGAAGGCTTTCTGATTAGTGAAGAACACTGAATATGCTTACATAACCCGCCTCTATTTTTAGTGATGATGAGCCTGGATTTATGAGAAAGATGCTTCCTGTCGTTTTTTTAGCAGAGTAACAGTCGTGTGTTTGTGTGAGCCTGAACAACGGGCCCTCTATTGAAGCTCTGGACGCCACAACTAAGTGTGTGTAAGAACGTGTGTGTGTGTGTGTGCAGGGAGGGACTGATTGTGAGTGAATCAGTGAACGATCCTTTTTCGCTGAATGTTTCATGAGCATGAATAGTCAACCAGAGTGCATTATGGGAGCACAATGCCTGTCCTGAGAAGGGGGAAGAGTTGATGTGAGTGCCTTATTGTGAGGTTGTGTGAGTGTGTGCAAGTACACAAGAATCTGGGTGAGTGTGCATGTGTGTGTGTGTGTGTGTGTGTGTGTGTGTGTGTGTGTGTGTGTGTGTGTGTGTGTGTGTGTGTGTGTGTGTGTGTGTGTGTGTGTATTACGTAAAGCAAATCTGTCTACAAATAAACAATGTACCACTGTCTTGGGCTGGTCATACCCCCAGTGATGTAACCACTGGAGACCCTGTGTGTGTGTGTGTGTGTGTGTGTGTGTGTGTGTGTGTGTGTGTGTGTGTGTGTGTGTGTGTGTGTGTGTGGTGGTTTTGTTTTGAAGTGATGCATGTAGACCTGTGTCCATCATTAAGAATGTGTCACCCATGTTTTAACCCTCGCAGGTGGGTGCTGCTCTGCTGGGTGTCACTGAACTTCACCTGCAGCTCTTATTTTAGTTCTTGGAGTGTTTTTTTTTTTTTGGAGAATATTCAAAACACATACGAGACTAATGACATGACCTGGTGTGCCTGTCCAAACAATCTGTGTTTGATTGAAGTCGATTTGTATTGAAAATACGATTTAAATTTCAGGAAAGAGGTGTACAATAAAATACATGGATGAATGTTCGGGTTTTAAAAAAGTTGATTTTTCTTTGAACTTATGTCTGATGTGTTAACAGAGTTTCACAAAACAATGTCAATTCAAACGCTGGTCAAATGAGTAAGAGTGAAATTACAATATCAGGCCAACTTTACTAATCTCACAGCACCTTTACATTATAAAACATCATAACAGCATTTAATCTTCTAACCAGGAGCAACATGTCAGAGGGGAGAAAACGTCTGTTGTTTGAGTTTAGAGCCCGAAACCAGCTGAGTCGATCAGAAACTAACCAGAGCCATAAACAGAGGTCAGAGAAATTATCAGAGGAAGACTTTAATGGGTTCACAGCAGCCGCCGCAGACAGCCAGACAGGGGGGAGTGGGGTTGTGTCGGGGGGGTTGTGTCAGAGAAAACAGTGAGAGCAGCAGAAAAGCAGCACATGTCAGGTTAGGGCTGCAGAGGGCGGGCAGACAGGTGTCACGCTGAGTTTATGAGGCTGTTAGAGCGCAGGAAGCGGCTCCAGGGTATGAAATGATTCTGCTAAAGGAAGGGGGGGGGGGGGGGGGTCACCCAGGAAGTAAGCGATGTCTAGGGAGGAAATGTGTTATTGACAGATAGACAGAGGGGGGCAGAGTGGCAGAAGAGCACATCTGAGCAGCACTGTCACCCCTCATAAGACTCGCTGCCTGATGACGAGAGAGACAGACACACAGACCTGGATGACAATGAAAACAGAGAAAAGACTACAAATACCAACAACCTTGTTTCACCCTGAACTACAATCTTTTACATTTAAAGTGAAGTGTAAATATTCATCTGTTTGCGTTTGTCTCTGACAGCTCGATCTCTGTGGTTCTGTCCCTTGGATTTTAAATAGGAGATGAATCTGTGTGTAGAGAGGTCATTGAATGTTCTCTACATGTGCGTGTGTGCGTGTGTGTGCATGTGTGTGTGTGGTGTGTGTGTGTGTGTGTGTGTGTGTGTGCGTGTGTGTGTGTGTGTGTGGGTGTTGGTGTGTGTGTGTGTGTGTGTGTCTCTGCTTACGTTGGCACTGGGTTGCCCTTGGCTTCACACTCGATGATGATGTTGTCTCTGGGGTCAACAATGTAGTCCTTCACTGACTGTTTGATTATAGTGGGGGGCTGCTTCACTGTGGGGGGGGGAGACAAAGAGGGGGTTACAGGGATAAGGCTGTGTACAGATATCGCGCACACACACAAACACACAAACACACACACACACATCATGCCGCTTTCCATGCCGTCTCAGTGAACTCTAGAAATCATTGTTAATATTTCTGTAAGTTAAAAAAAAAAGGTCGATATGATTAACTGATTCTATAACTTTTTTTTTTTAGCCTTTGATTTAAAATTATTTCCACTAATGGATCGTCTATTGTTTAGACTTAATCAGCCTCATACATGAGTCTGAACGTGTTTTAAATTCTTCTAAAATGAAACGTGCACAGACGGCTGTGTCCACCTCCCAGCTGTGTTCAGTCTTAACATTCATATTTAATGGCTCATTTAAGCCAAACTCCTCAGCATCACAGACTCACCGCAACAGCAAACACATCTCTGCCTTTTGACTTTTCTAGCTCACTGAGCCTCACAGGGTCACACTGTACACACACAACTATACACACACACACACACACAAACAGAAGATAACAAGCACCTCAGAGGGCCGTCAGCTCTGTGGCTGGACTGGAAGATGAATTCCTGACCCAGATGAAAGAACAGTTTTCTCTGTGTAATTGAAGCCTTTTCCAGCTAATCTAATCCACGGCACTGTATAATACACGTCCCCCCCACCCGTGTTGCCGTGGCAACCATAAGCGAGTGTTTCTATAGTAAGCCCCGGTTGTGATAAAAAGCCGGGGCCGTGAGAGATAATTGGTATGGAAATAACTCCTCGACACATCGGCTTATATCCCACCCTCGAGGGTAACACTCTTTAAACTACAAACATGTGAGGATGCTGCTGAGTGGACGGATGAGTTACTGTAGTTTTTATATGCACATTAACGGCTTTTGTCTTACAACCAATGTTTTTTAGGAATATAATGGTAAAGACACTTGAGCGTGTAAAGCGCTTTTCTAGTCTTCTGACTACTCAAAGTGCTTTTACTCCGCAGGTCACACCTACACATTCACACACTGATGGTAGAGGCATTCATACACCACAGAAGAAGCAGAAGGAGCAACCTGTGGTTAAGTGTCTTGCCCAAGGACACTTAGAGTTGGGGATCGAACCCCCGACTTTCCAGCTGAGAGATGACTGACTCTACCACTGAGCCACAGCTGCCCCCAATGTATCATTCAGCCAAGTGTTTCTATTTCATGGTCAAATGTGACACTGGTACAGCAGCTTCACACGCTCTGAGATTTAAAAGACGCAGGTTGCACGTAAACATTAGCAGTGAGGTGTTACAGAGAAACACTTACGGTCTTTCAGGATCTTTGCTGTTAGTCCAACATGAAGCCAGAGAGAGAGAGAGAGAGAGAGAGAGAGAGAGAGAGAGAGAGAGAGAGAGAGAGGACATGGACAAGTTGTCATGATTGTTAATCATATTAGAAACAAGTTAATATCTAATGTTCTGTTACAACAATGCTAATTCACCATTAGTGCTGTATTATGGTCTGTTATATTATGTCATAGCTCAGTGGTTCCCAACTTCTGTGGTCCATTATCATGTATGTTTGAAAAAAATCTGTCCACCCAAACATTATCCTCGTGTGTGGTGAATTTACAACGACAACACATGCATTAGCTCTTAATGAAAGCCTCTTCGACGTAACATGCAACCTGCAGAATTTCAGCTCTGTTTCTTTTATCAGAAGTCTGAACATGCCTGAGATTGGATATACTATAGCTGATATTCCAATGCATCGTCAGTGGTTCTTCATTGTACTCTTTTTCTGCAGAGCTAACTAAACCCTCGTTTCCACCAAGCGGTCCGGTTCAGTTTGGTTCTCATTTATTGGCGTTTCCACCGTCAAAAGTGGGGAATGGTACCAAAATAACCGATCTGTATCGTCCTATTTTTTTGCTACCCTTCTGTTAGGGTGCCAAGCGTACCGATCCAACCCTAAAAGCGTCTGTTGATTGGTCCAAGGTATCGCCACTTCCCATGCAACAGCAGTAATAAAAGACAAATACAAAAAGCACCATGATGTTTTTTTGGCCATTTTTGCCTTTATTGGAGAGGACAGCTGAAGAGAGACAGGAAATGTTTAGAGGAGAGTGTGGGGGGATGACATGCAGCAAAGGGCCTGAGGTCAGATTCGAACCCACGGCCGTTGCAACGAGGAATACAGCCTCCGTACATGAGGTGCAAGACACAACCGCTAGTCCATTGGCGCCCCACATGAGAGTCTTTTTTTAAGGCTGTTTTTGCGACTAAAATCAATGCACTGCCCCATGGACGACCTTGGAGGTTACGACCTCTGCAGGACGTCCTCCATTGTTGCCCTTTGTTTACTGTTTTCTTCTTCTGTACCAAACTGTACTGAACCAAACCGGACCGCTAAGTGGGCTTAAGGTAATATAGGGTATAGGCAAGACTGTATTCATTCAAAGATGGACGCACAGCTGCTGGTCCATGGTGTGTTTGGACATGATATTTCAGGAAATGGTGGCACGGTTGAGAACCACTGTCCTAGCTCACAGTTATGTTCTATACTGCTCGTGTGATGAACTAGTATCTGAACTACAGAATGAAAGAAGAAACAATAACTGATGGACTCACCTGTTGGGAGTTCCCGTTTCAGCAGAGGATGAGCAGTGAGGAAGAAAAACAAACGACACAGGTTAGGCTTCAGATTTTACAGCAAAAACTCTTAACACAGAGCTGCATTTCAATCATACATATTCCATTAGTAACAATGCAGTAGCTCCACAAAGAGTGCTTAAAAAACGTCACATTTAAGGTAGTGTTTGGGACGTAAGCACATATGTGTCACTTCATCTGATAGACTGTATATGAGTAGATGTTCAGCAGAAAACACAGACCACCAGATTGTGATTCAACCCCCTCCCCATTGACACACAGGAACACACACACACCATAATGAAGCAGCCGTGTGTCAGGAGTTTGACCTTGTGTTTGTGTGACAGTAACAGATGAGTCTTGACATGAGGTGTTCTTTGTGTGTGTGTGTATATCTGCACAGATTTGATCCAGTTTCTAAAAATGTTCTATTTACTGAATTTAACCAGTTTCCAGCACATGCCCAGTAGATATTATTATGCAGAGAGAGTGTGTGTGTTGTAGGGATGTGCGGAAAGAGCTCATCAATAAAGGTCAAGAGGGCAGTTTGCTATGGAGCAGATAAAGAGACATAAGGACAGAGAATGAGGGGAGGGGGATTCTCATTAAAGCGTCCACACACTGCCGTGTCGCAGTTGGCTCTGATAAAAAACATTACAAGGAGGGGGGTCCTCAGGGATTAAACACGTCATGTGGCATCAGTTTTCTAAGAGAAAGATGTGATGAAGTGCTCTGAAAAACTGAAAATGGTTCATTATCAATTAATCTGATCAGTCCGTCCAACAGAAGGAAGGACCCTGGAGGGTTTTTCTTTTTTACGCACTTTTAATAAACATACTTGACCTGATTCTGATTATTTGTTACAGACTTAATCACTGTGACAGAACTAACAATAAAAGGCACTTCTGGGTGAACATCAGTGGCGTTAACCTTCGACCTACGCAAGAGATAATGATATGTAAGAGAAATTGGTTTAATAGCCTTCGATACTGTTGACCAGGCAATTATGAAAGATAGATAAAAAAAGACACTATCAGACTGTCTAAACAATCTGTATGTTGGTTTGTAAATTATTCATCAAACAAATCACAATGTGACCAGGTGGAAGGCTTTACTTCCTGGTATGTTGAAGTTAAAAAATGGTGTGCCACAAGGCTCAATCTTGGGGCCACTGTTATTCACACTTTATATTAACAGTATCGGTCACAATGTTTCTAATGCAAATTTTCATTTATATGCAGATGATTCTGTTTTTTTATCACTCTGCAAAAACCAAACAGGGACTTCTTAATAAAGTCGTGACATCAGCACTTAAACATTACCAGCAGCATCGGGTTGCATTAGCCCAATGCAACACATTGAGGCGCAAACTTTATTCATATATGGGTTTTTTCTTTTCAGGTGAACCCCTCCTTGTCCAACTGTTAGCGCTTCCAACATGCAGTAGGCAAAGAGAGATGGCCCAGTCCACTCAGGGACGCTGTGTAGCGGCATAAGAACTGAAGGAGAACCAACAGACTTTCCAAATGGAAGAAAATACTTTCTATGGCCTAAAAAGACAAACAGATAAAAACCGAATCCACTTTGAGATGCATATCATTTCTTGATTGATCGCAGAATCTAGTTTCAGATGTTTATTGGCACTCTGCTGTCTTTGTCCCTGCTGGTGAAACAGGACTGAGGAGTGGTGGGGAGTTTGGAAGAGAGGTTTTTTTTAAATCTGCATATAAGATCAATTAAAAATAATTTGCAGACAAAGAGCTTTCTTCTGGTAAAGACTTCGGTTTTAGATGCCTACCACTTCTCTCTGGATTCAAAGGTTTGAGCATCACTTAATGAGGACACTCTGTATTACAATAATTCTCCGTTCTATATTTTCATTTACTGGATTCTGTCCCCTCCACACAAAAAACCCCAAGAATATTTCTAATATGAAATGAAGCCACAGAGTGGAGTTTATCTAGAAGTGACAAGCTGATGAAATCTTTGTCAGAAATAAATGAAAGCCTGTCTGTCAGTTTATCATAGCGTGCTGAATACATTAAGGAGAGGTCAGTGTGTTATAAAGGGTATTATACAAATGGTCTCTGTTGGGCATGGTGTGTGTGTGTGGTGTGTGTATATGTGTGTGTGTTTTTATCAGATCAATAGGGCATCATAAGTCCAGAGTTTAAAGGTCAGGCTTATAAAAAAAACAGAGAAAGATGGCGCCACAGGAGGGCTGAGAAATAAGCAGCTGACAGCTGTGTGTGTGTGTGTGTGTGTGTGTGTGTGTGTGAGTGTGTGTGTGTGTGTGTGTGTGTGTGTGTGTGTGTGTGTGTGTGTGTGTGTGTGTGTGTGTGTGTGTGTGTGTGTGAGACACATAAGCCAGGTGTCCTTGGGCCGTTCTCAGTATCAAATAATTTTTCATTGTACAATTGTGAGACATTCATCTTAGATCTAAGAAAAGAGTTAGTGTGTGCCTTGTGTGTGTGTGTGTGTGTGTGTAGTATGTAGTGTGTGTAGTAAAGGGTCAGAAAAGAAAGAAAAGAAAAAGGCATGACTTCTCCTTTTCTTCTATCTGCTTTTGTCCCCAGTTCCCTCAGGAATCCATTTAACAGCAGAATCCCGTCAGGCTCTTATTCCTGTCGTTATGGACAGGTATGAGAATATGTGTGACTGTGTGTGTGTGTCTGTGTGTGTTGAGAGTATATTACTATAATATATTAACGTGTGCATGTTTGAATCGATGATCTTCTTTGAATTTGCACAGGCTGAGCCACCCAAAGAGACGCACTATCACCTCGGGATATGAAGTCTATTCTCATGATAATCAAATGTTAATGGGATCACTGACGGCGCCCCGGCAGCACACGTATGGTTTCATTTTTCATAAATGAATTACCATCGCCTATTAAACCTGTTCAATGACGTTCGGGTAAAATTAAGTATTTTAAATTGAGTTTTTTTTTTTCTTTTTTTAATCCATGTTTATCAGATCCACAACCTTTGACCCCGTGTATTCATCTCGTCTCAGACTGGAGAGTTTCTCTTAAGTTTGTTCGTTTGAACGAGGCATTGCTTTGGGGAAAATATTCAAAACCATCTTTTAAATCCAGCACAGCAATGAGCCGACCAAAGAAGACGGGACTGTCGTTCTAAGGATGGAGATTTATTGTGATGTTTCTTTTTCTGTTTGTCGTGATGCTTTTCATGTCGTGTGTGAAGCATGCTGAATATTCTTGTTGCTGAAACGTGCTAAATAAATAAAAGATAGTATTTAGAGATGCTGTCTTTCTTCTCGAGTCAACGGTTAGATGAGGACGATTATTGTAGAACTGAACTTTTTATTTGACTTAGATTTTTTTTAAACCAGAACTAACCATAGATGGAGGACTGGGTCAATGTAATAAATGATGTCACTTCCATACTGGTTGCCAGGTTGCAGTGGGAGGAGCTTGTCAATCATAGGCAGCACCTTACCTCCCTTCATCGTCTATTTCACTCAAAATGGAACTATCATTCATCAAACTAACATCGATTTGTTTTTTTCACAGCTAGACTACACTAATTAAGTAAATGTTTACTGAGGTAACCATGTCACAGTTTAAAACAGAGGCTGTTTATCCTCTGCTGGACGGGGACACTTCTTATAGTCATGGTTAAAACTTCAGGTTTACTACAGTTCAGTATAACTGCTTTCATTACACAGTCCAGTCTAGCATGAGATATGTGAAAAATAACGGGCACAGCAGGCCTCTACATATCTTGACTTAAAGTCCCCAGTGCAGCCCATGATACCAAAAATCCTGGATTCTACATTTCCCACGACGTTGTCTTTCAATGTCTGTTTAACTCCCCAGTTCATTCATGCTGCATGAAGCTAGCTACACAACTATTTGCATCTGTGTGTTGACTCTGTATGTGATTGTACGATGCAGACATTTCACAAGGCAACAACCACATTCTGTGTTTGCATTGGAGATCTGTGCTGCTGTATATTGTGCTTTTTTCTCAACACCATGTTTCCTCACTTCAACTTCACCATGCCAGTTGAATGCGGTCTAATCGACCGAGAAAGGGCAGATAAGCTCTTAAAATGATCTGCCCTTTGCCGAAACGCTGCAAGCAATGACTTTTACATTGACGGAACAAACTGGAAAGGCTTTCTAGTTTGGAGTCAGAGGTGTGTTCTTGCAAAAATGTTTGTCAGGAATGGTTGGAAGAATATGAGCACAAGAAATACATCTATTAACTACGCTTGTTTGTCCAAATTCAATCCCAGCAACACTATATTTTGGGGTAACTGTAGTTAAAAAAACATTTCTTAGCCATCCATTTTAGATCATTTTTCTTTCACTGTATTTAACGTCACAGTTTTTCATGTTGCATTTAAGCCATCGAGCTGTAAGAAACCGTGGTTAAGTGTATCTGATGATTCTTGACTTACGATCTTGTGGGACTTCGATGGCTGCTGCTTCGCGCCACAGTAGCAGCAGTAATGACACGAGAGCCAGGGCCGTGTGCCCGCCCTGCCCCGACATCTCTCCCCCTCCGATTGGCCGGCCTCAACCCCGCTCCTCTCCTGATTGGCTAGATGGTTCTTCTGACAGCCGCGCTGAGACCTGAGAGTACAGACCGGGGACAGAGACAGATGGTTAGGATGAAGACAGCGAAGTAGACCGTACAGTAAATGGAAAGAATAAACTGTTTGTGTGTGTGTGTTTGTATGTGTGTGTGTGTGTGTGTGTGTGTGTGTGTGTGTGTGTGTGTGTGTGTGTGTGTGTGTGTAGCTGTGTGTAGCTGTGCGGATTCTGGCACACGAGTGTGTGTCGACTCTGGCCTACATTCACAGCTGAGTCCCCGTGTGGCTCCCCTGAGAGAGCAGCCTAGAAACAAAGCCAAGGAGACGCTCTGTGGCACCGAGTCTTAAAGTGGGATCAAGCTGCAATCACAAGCTGCTTCACAGAGAAACACAGGATGCTTCCAATTATCAACGAGACTTGTGTTGAATTCATCAATTAAACGTCTTTGAAACAATTTGTGTTTTCATATTTTTTAACTGGAAGCTACACAAAGGAGTGTCAGACTTCATATCACAGGGACATTCATCTATAATACTTATACTCAGACGTTTTGACTCACAGGTCTCCTCTCAATATTCCCGATCTAGACGATCCTGTCTGACATCTTTCAGGGTTTAACATAAAATGCTAAATGGAAATATAGCAAAAGAAATCCCTAAATGAGCTCTCTATAGAACCTAAATTTGATGACAATGAATTATTAGAGTCATTTACGGACATCACATCAACACCTTGACTTTTACAGAAGCATTTCTCTTAACAGCAGATAGAAAAGCAGGAAGCTCCACCCACAAGTTTGTCAAATATCGTTGACACTTAGCAAGGACCAGCATCAGCTGTATTTTATCTTAAATTATCTTTTTGGGGCTTTTTGGCTGCAACATGTCCATAGCTTTAAAGAGGACATATTATCCCCCTTCTCCACCTTTTCAAACAGTCCCACTGTGGTCTAAAATGAAACATCTGTGCTGTGCTTTGGTAAAATATAACATGAATCAAGCACCAGAGGAGGTTTGTGACCCTGTATAAACCAGCTCTCTCAGAACGCTCCGTTTTGGTGTGTGTGTCTCTTTAAACGCAATGAGCCCCCCCCCCCAAGTTTTCCCAGTAGACATCACTCCTTCACTAGTGAGAATAAAAAATGGCGGACCTGCGCAAAACTTTTGTTCTAGTCTGGGGGTGGAGTCCATGGGTGGAGATACCAGGGGAGGGGAGGGGATTTTGTTTTTTACCAGAATCCCACTGTGACATCACAAGGAGAGCAAATGTGAAACAGAGCATTTTTCTCTGTGTTGTAAGACTTATGCAGACCACAAACAAAGGACTGGATGGGTTTATTTCACATTTTGTGGGTCAGCAGACACTCAGGTTACCCAGATATATGTTAAGTGGATTTTTCACAATATGTCCCCTTTAAGGTAGATAGATTCACTGCAGAAGTATTTATCTAGCTCCTACGCTGTGACTCGTAGTTTTAATGTCTACAGAAGAAGGGTGTGTGTGCACATTTCCTGCAATTATATAATTTCAGACCAGAAACTGTTGATAAAATATTTATCAGGGGAATAACTCCGAGTGCTCGCTGCATGTAGTAGTCTTCGTGTCTGTAGGCACATTATGCATGCATGTTTCTGTGATGCAGTCAAATCAGTAAAAGAACACGGTGCTCAACTTTCAGAGGATGTATTCATCTGGCTAGAGGGGAAGACATTTGTTCAACATTTGTACTACTTCAGTGGAACAGTGAAATAAAGGAAATGAGTGTTCTGCTTAAAATACGTTTGTGCAAAGTGCTGTTTTTTTAACTTATGGCATTATCTCATTAATGGATTGTATTCAAACTACAAGCCACAGATTGTTTTACAAATGAAGCGAGATACTGTAAAAGGAGACCGATCTTAGTTAGCTTAATAAGCACAATAATGTAGAGCTCTAAATCTCTACAAAAGCTTCAGGTTAACCTGTGGGACACTGCATCTGATTTTGACTTTTCTTCTTGGCACTTTGTTAAGCAGCCAATGATTTCTAATTAACTCCCCAACACCTCCTCATGACAGCTACTCCTGTGTTCTGGCAACCATACCAGGACCACCTGCCCACCGTTAATCCCTGTCCCCCCCATAGTGCTGTGCTGCAGTCCCCCACCAGGATCAATCCTTCACTCTGCTTCAAATCACAGCACAGTGAAACCAATGACAACAGGATACAGGACTAATCAGGTGGGATGGAGGGTTTGAATTTCAAATATAAGGGAAAAGAAGGAGGGTGGAGATGTGATGAAACACAAAGCACTGATGAGCTGCTGAAGGAGACATTACAATTAAATAAATTCATTTTATGTTGTACAAACAGGACTCACAGTAGATCCCTTCTGTTGTGTATTTAGCAGTAAACATATATCTGCTCATTTCTCAATATTTTAATATCTAAGCGTGTTCTGGTTTCTTCCTGCAGTCCGTTTGTTGTCACCGAAGGATTGACCAATCACTGACTTGGGCTGTATGCAGGTAAACACATGGCCTGATGTCTGTGCTAAACTTTGAATCAATCAGAGATCGTCTCACTTCAATTTAGCTTTTTTTAAATCAGTTTTATTTTGTAAGCTGGTATCTGTTGAAATGAAGCCCAACATGATGTGAGGCAATTCAATGTGTTGCAATACAAGTAATAATTGTAAGGGTTTTTTTTTTAAAATATTGTAATTTTTATTTTTATTTTTCAAAATAAAAGATAAACTTCAGACTTATGCTAAAGTGAAGCTGCTCCAGCATCCCTTCTGGGCCTCCATACATGTGTGGTGGTGACCCTGTCCTCTGACTGGATTTTAATGTTCTGGTTTGTTCCTGTTGACTCGGGATGTTTCTGGGCGGGGAGTTGGTGTGTTTCCATCAGCCAATGACAGCGCAGCAGGTGAGTTTAGGAGTGGATACAATTCAGTGATTGGTCGGCATTCAAACCGGCAAATATTGCAAATGAGGACGTAGCGGGTGAGAAGAGAAAATGTAATCATAGTGATAAAGCTTGTTCCAAAATGAGGGTGAACCTTGGGTTAGCCTTCACCTGCAGACACATTGTTGGTCTGCTTCCTGTTGGACAGGCAGGTACCAAACACCGGCGGTTAGCTTGTGCTAACGTGCTAAATGCTTGCAGTAAATGTACAAACTAACTGGAATAGTAAAATCTACCTTTTTAACCAATGTGCCACACCGTGCAAAAGTCAGCACGAAGCATGGCAGCAATTACATCAGAATTATTCGTACTATTCTGTTTCTGTACGATCATTCAAACTGTGTTTTTTCCTTAAATTGATCCAAACTGTCACAAAAAAAGACAAAATTTAACGTCAGCCTTTGTCTCTTTAAACAATGAGCGCTGCAGGAACAGACTGATTTCACAACAGAGGGGACTCAACAGCTTTGTGGCCTCAGGGCAGTCATCAGATTTCACCCAAAACCTGCAACACCTACCCCACACACCCACACCCACACCCACACCCACACCCACACACACACACACACACACACACACACACACACACACACACACATTTATACATAAACCATCTGGTGGTATGTCAATCCAACACTATTCAACAACATAGCTAATCTGCCCCTGGGGAGCTAATACCCCAGTATTGGCTGGCATGAGATGTCAGTCACATACAGCCCCTAACACACACACACACACACACACACACACACACACACACACACACACACACACACACACACACACACACACACACACACACACACACACACACACACACACACACAGAAACACAACACGCATGGATGCAGAAGCACAGGGAGGTACACAACACAGTCACACATGGATGAAGACACGCCCCGACACACCCTCATTCCTCCCTCTAACACACACACACACACACACACACACACACACACACACACACACACACACACACACACACACACACACACACACACACACACACACACACACACACACACACAACACAAGGCATATCTCTGCCGCCCAGCTGTTGTGATACCTGACCTGTATCTCCCTCATCTCTGTTCATGAAGGAAACTCAGATAACACACTCACACACGTACAGCACAGCGGAGAGATGGAACTGGGAAAAGACCGAAACCAGTTTGGAATTGCAGATCTTTTTTTCAAGTGTCCTGGAAAGACGGGAATCAAGATAAAGCGGGAAGCAGAGAGAAAGAAAGATATGAAGAGAGATGAAGGCAGTGAAAACACTGAAATAGGTCAGTGTTCAACTTCCACATGTAGAACTCTCTACACACTGTGCATTATAGATGACAGCACACAGTGATACACAGAGGCTGAGAGCACAAACAGGGTCAGTGAACGTCACATACAGCGTACTACACATTACCTCACACGGCAGAGGAACAGCAGCAGCTGCTCTGCGGGCTGTGAAAACCTGCAACACATTTCACTAAATCAACCACAGAATCATGTTCAACACATGTTCATCACATGAGGATTTCAAATAAATTATACATCCTTTAATCTGCCTAAATGTGTACGTACTTGTCTTCATTGCACATTAAGACGTTTTATTCTCTTATGCAGGAAAGTTGAAGATAAGAAGGGTTCTTGGTTGAGACCTTTTGTCACCTAGAGGTTGACCAAGCAACCGACCGGGACTCAGGGAGGTCACTGCACTTGGCAAGAAAATAGTCCTCCATACATCCTCCTCTAAAAGTACATATAGATGTTTTTATAACTCAGTTCACACAGAATAAAAAAAACACACATTAAAATGTTTAAGAGTAGCATACGGAGGGCAGAATATGAAAGTTGTCTGAAGCTTCATCAACAACAAATGTTCAGTTCAGAATGTCAAAAAGAATATTTGCCCCAATATGAACCTCTGACATCGAGAGACTGGCTTCAACACTTATGATTCTGTTACTTTTATATTTTTAAGCTGCATTTATTCACTACTATCTTTCTATAGAAATGAGACTCAATATTATCTCTTAACTCAAGTTTCTCTTCTGACTTTAAGTCTGCAAATAGTCGAGAATCTGGCAATTTGA